ACACCAGCCCTTTCCACTGATGGTCTCATTTAACTGTCCATGTGTGTATGCACTTATGAGTTTGTGTGTATGAAGATCCCAGCCCATGTTCTACCTGGGTGAGCAAGGGAGTTAAATAGGGTGGTAGAAATTTTGGAGAAGAACAGTGAGACTAAAAGGGGTGTTCAGGGTAGGTTCCCAGAGGGCAGAAAATAGGTCTGAGAATGACAGTTTCCAGCTTCTTAGTTTTTTTTTTTGTTTTTTTTTTGCAAGTAACCTTCATGAAACTCTTTGTGTATACAGTGCCAGAGGTGGAAGGTCTTTGGGGATTGTCCAGGCTAGGGTTAATGCCCAGGTCCTGTGAATGTGCTTTAGGGGTCCATGAACCTTTCAAAAAATACTCAAAATGTTGTGCAAGTCTGTCTGGGGCAAGATCCAGAGCTCTGTCAGATGCTCAGAGAGGTCTCTTAGATTTTGCCTGTCCTGGGTAGTGCTCCGTGCCACGGGCCCCCTACCCCAGCTCTGCCTCTGCGCCCCCATTTCCACCAAGTGGGCCTGTACTCCCCCATTTCTTCCTAAACCCACAAGCAGCCTGATGCCACTGGGTGAGGCTGTGGTCAGTGTGGGTGCCAGTCTTCCCCACCCCCCACCCTAGCCTGAAGCACCAGGTTGTCCCTTTCCTGCCCCTAGTTTCTCCCAAAGCAGAATGGTTTCAACCCCAGGTGCCCAGTGATATAGGTCTAGCCGCCCTAAACCTTGCCCCTAGGCCTGTAGGCTCCCCATCTCCACTTCACCACCCTGGGCACCTGCGCCCATGCATCTGTGCTGTCTTACAGAACTTGTTGGGCCCTCCAGCCCTTTCCTTGAGATTCCCACAGTCCCTGGTTTGGATCCCAGCAAAGAAGCCACTTTATGAGGTTATTCCTATGACAGTCTAGTGTCATTCCAAGCAGAAACCAGTTTTGTCACTTTACAACTTTGTGACCATGAGCATGGTCCTCAACCTCTCTTAGCCTCTGCCTACAATGGGGATGATGATAATCTCCAAGTTATCATTCACCAAATATGTAAAAAGTATGCACTGTTTGCCAGACACTGTGCTAGGCTCTGGGGGAGATAGCAGTGAATGTGACAGAGTCCCCACCCTCACTGAACTTACATCCTAATGAGGGATTTGGGCAGAAAATAAAGAAATAAATAGAAAAGGGAGTTTCAGGCCTGCTAAATGATGCTGAGCAGACATGATGCTCTGTGAAAGAGTATGAAAGAGTTCTGGGTAGTCAGAGAGGGCCTCTCTGAGGAGGCAGCATTGGAGTTGAGCCTTGAGTGACAGAAGAGGCAGTCATTTAAAGAGCTAGGGAAAGAGCATTCTAGGCCAAGAGTACAGCTAGTGCAAAGGCCCTGAGGTGGGAATGAGCTCAGGGAGCAGAAAGAAGGCCAGTGTGGCTGCTGGAATGGGGGATGGAGCGAGGGCAGTGAACCAGCTCAGGCAGAATCTTTTTAGGCCATGCTGAGAAGGCCAGATTCTAATTGAAGAGTTATGGGAGCTGATGGAGGGTTACTAGTGAGGAAGAGGTGTGAAGTAATTTGTGTTCTCATAACTCACTCCAGCTGCCATGGGGAGAGTAGGGAGGGGGATAGGGTTGTTGCAGGAGCAGCTGAGACCCAGAAAGTGGCCAGCTTGGTATTCAGCCCTGGCCCAGCCAGGGTTCCATTACCATCATGGGCCCCATCTTGGTTGGTGCTGAAAAAGAGGTCATCCCAAGGGCAGTCACAGGAGCCCTTGCCTGGAGCGGGGCCTGGTTCAGGCTGAGAGAGGATGCAGGGGATCCAGCTACTGCCAGCCTGTCACTTGCAGTCATCTCCTTGGCATGGGTGCTCTGTGGCCCAGCTGTACCCTGCTCCCCTGCTCTTGCTGGCAGGTTGGCAGTGAGCACAGTCACTGCTTGGGTAGACTCTTCTGGTTGAGGATATGAGACCTTGATCTTGTGGGTGATCTGACAGAGGGCCTAGGAAACTGGGGGCTTGTCCTGTACCTCCAGCCCGTTGAGGTGCACAAGGAGGCTACTCCTAACTCTAGAGTCAGCTACTCACTATATGACCTCAGACAAAGACTTCCCTGGTTCTGTGCCTCAGTCCTCCCCGTATATCAGATGTGGTATTAGAAAAAGTGGACCATAGCTGCTTTCTCCTTGACCTCTGTGGTGAGTTTGTTCTTCCTTGGATTTTAGCTCTCTCAGCATTCATGACCCTAAGTTCTCCTGCCAGCCCTGGGAGGGATGGTGGTGATGTCCCCATTCTGCAGAGGAGTTCACAAAGGCCAGAAGGGACAATGATGAGTCTCAGGGCATATTGTGATTCAGAGTGAGGAGCTGGGGCACTGTTTCACACCTCTGTCCTGAAGCCTTCACTTTATACACCCTTCCCTTGGGCTCAGCTAGAGAAAAGGGTCCTGGCTCAGCTATTCTGGGCTTAGCTGGCCCTCACCCCAGGCGGGGACTCCGGGCCACTGCCCAAAGTGGAGCTCAATGCTGCCCCTTGTTTGCCCACCCCGAGAAGCTGAGGACACAGCCGAGTGCCCGGTGTTGGCAGAATCTCCATCTTGTTCCCAGCTGCAGAAAGACATGGCAGGGCAGGTAGGGCTGGAGCCAGCCTGAGGCAGCTGCTGGAAGCTGGGGGGTGATGTAGGAGGCCTCCCAAGGGGTCCTTAATTTGTCCATAACCCTGGCTTTGGGGCTGGTGTAGACTGAGAATGAGGTGAAGCCTCTTATATTCTCAAATCTCAGGCTTCACTGGGAGCCCAGGCAGAGTCCTGGCTAAAGGGCTCAGCCTCCGTGCGTGGGTGTGGGCGCTTGAGGCATCCTGGTGGAATTGGGCTGAAGCCCTGTGCCCCGGATCCAAAGCTCACCTAGCCCGTGGGCTAGAAAGCAAAACAGGACTAGAACTCGGGCAGCAGGCCAGAAGGCCCACTCTCCTCCTCCTTCCTTTCTGAGTGCTCCCCGCACCCCCAAGGAGTCTCAGCTGAGGAGATGACCTCCTGTTCTCCCTCCTCTGAGTACACAACCCGAGAGAACAGATTGAAATAGCAACTGCAGCAGCAGGGATTTAGGGCAGACCGAAAAGAATCCCTCACTCCGTGCCGAGCCCCTAGGGGTTCCCGGTGTCCTAGGATCTGGGCCCAGATATTCTAGGGCCTGGCCCTTCAGTATTTTTTTTTTCAAATCTGTAGAAGTTTTTGTTTTGTCTTTTTCTTTTTTCTTCTTTCTTTTTTCTTTTCTTTTCTTTTTTTTAGAGTTAAATCTTATGCTCATGCAGTCTTCAGAACTCTGGGAGGTGGCGCTCAGGGTGGGTGGGTGGGGCCCCAGATCCCTGTGGGTCCCGCTTGCTGTCTTCCACTCCATGTTTGAAAACCAAGGGGGAAATGAATCTTAAGTGGTGGTGTGGTGACAGAGCTCCCTCCAAGTGCCTGAAGCCCTCAGAGAAGTAGACTCACCTTTCTCTCCAAGCTCATCTCTAACTGGGAAGTTTTTCTCAGAGTCTAACCCAGTTTTTCCCAAACTAGTCTGATGATAAGAATTACAGATTACTATACCCATTTCCCGTAGACTCTGGTTCAGGAGGTATGAGGGAGGGCCCATAATCTATATTTTAACAAGTCCCTCAGGTGACACCTAAGACCAGGCGAGTACGGAAGTGTGGGCCTCACCTGAATCCCCGTTGCTATGCCTGCAGCTTGTTCTGCTGCAGCCTGGGAGGCTGACCAGTCCCTCTCCTCCCCAGCCTCTCCTGAACCCCTGCACTCCTCCAGAGGAGAGCAGGGCTGCTGGGGGGAGCTGAGGCCCAAGGAAGGGAGGAAAAGTTCTTTGGAGGGACTGGTCTGTGTCCTTGGTGACAGAGGGCGCTGGGAGTGAGGTGGGGTGAAAATGGCCTAGACTGGGTGGGGTCCGGAGTAGAGAGGGCTGAGTGGGGAGCCAGGACACAGCCCATCACATCTCCCCTCCCACCTGAGATTGGGCAGGAAGCCTCTGGGGAACTGAGCTGGTTCTGATCTGTTTTAAAAAGGGGAGGGGTGGAGATGGCAGGTTAAATGGGTCTCCTCATTTTGCAGAGAAGAAACAGACCCTGAGCAGGGCAGAGGGGAGTGGGGCTGGCCTGGGTGGGGCAGTGAGGAGTCCCAACCTGGATCTACATGGGTTACATGGTGAGTTGGGCAGAACATGGTTGTCTCCCCTTCCAGTGCTCTCCTGTGAGAACCTCATGGCAGCCTCCTCACGAGTCCCTCCTCAAGGCTTGGTGAGCTCCGGGACCAGGTGTTGAGGGGAACCGCAGGCCCCCTCCTCCTTCCTCTTCGCACAGCCAGGGCTTTGGGTGTTGAGCAGTGGAGGCAGCCCCGCTCTCTGCAAGTCTCCCTGGTGGTGCCGCACCCTCCCAGCACCCTGGACAGTGCCTCACTCTGGACCTCTGGTTGGCTGCCTAAGGGCCTCACTTTGGTTTCTCTGGGGTGGCTTCTGTTTTGATAAAGCTGCACTTCTGTTGACTTCCTTGCCTCCTGTCTTAAATCTCCCTCTAAAGGTAGCCCCCAGTCCAGTTCTCTGCATTCACCACTTGTCTGGCTCCTGGAGCCAGAGCAAGAGAACATGGAAAGAGGCAAGGTGGCTGGCTACTTGTCAGCCTGGGATTTTGTCCCCTTCACTCACCAGCAGGAGAGGAAGGGGTCTTGGAGGAGTCCTGGACCCTTCCCTAGTCCCTCCCGACCTGGATCTTCCTCAGGAGATTTTGATGAATTCTGGAGATACACAACAGGGATACAGAAGAGGTAACAGGGAAGGCAGAGGGTCAGGGGAGAGGTGAGTGGGGCTGGCCTGAGCACAGCAGTGAGGAGGCCACAACCTGAACCCAGATGCCAGCAGGGAGGTCCTGAGAAGATTATCTAAGCCATCCTCTTGTCCTCATGCAGGCTGCCTGGTGCTGGTCCTGCTGGGCTTTGGACCCCTGTCTGATCCACCCCTTTATCTCTCCAGGTCTAGGGGCTAACCAAGAGTAGCCGGCACAGAGTAGAAGCAGTAGCTGCCATGGATGAGGAAAAGCTTCCATCTGTGCTGCCTGGGGAAGATGGTGCCGCCTGGGACCTCAGCCTGGAGCCTGAGAAGGAGCCTCTGGTCCAGAATGGAATGGCATCCAGTGAAGACCTGAGCAGCAGCCACAGCAGCCAGGGGCACGAGATACAGGACACTCTGGCAGACACTGAGGAGCATACAAAGGGCCTAGACGTGGCCCTCCACGGCCTCAGCCTTGGCCTCTCCCTCACCAATGGCCTAGCCCTGGAGTCAGACTCAAGCATTCTGGAAGATTCTGCAGAGTCCAGGCCCTGGAGGGCTGGTGGGCTGGTAGAGGGGGATGATGCCTCCAGAAGCCTCTGTCCAGATTCTGAGGACTCTCAGCTGGGGTAAGTGGGTGTCTCGGGATGGGGCTCACCACATTTGTTCCAATGCTGCAATGGCCTGGGCCTAGCCACTTAGCCTCTTTGGTTCTTGTTTTCTCTTCCTTAAAATGGGAATTTTATGTCCCTGTTTTGGGAAGATAGAGCCATAAGAGAGATTTCAAAGGCCAGTAGGCCTGTTGTGTGCCCACCTTCAGCGCCCCCAAACCATCATGGGCTGTTTCTATGTGGGGTTGGAGGGCCGCACTCCCTCTATTAGAGAGAGTGGCCATTGGAGTTCCAAAATGCCTTGATGTGGGAGGTCAGCTGGTCCATCCCTTTGCTTCCTGGAGATGAGAATCTGCCAATTTTGCAACTGACCCCAAGAGAGGAGGCTTTGTGGATTAATCTCTGTTGGCTACTCCTCTCTGAGGGCCATTCAGGAGTTTGACCAGGAACTCCTACTTGTTGGAGTGAGTCCTCCTTGCTGGAGTTAACAACCCCATTTTTATTATTCATAGCTGGAGGTGGAGAGGCCCGGCATCTTAGAGGTACCAGTTAGACAAGGAGGGTAGGGATGAGGCAGGAGAATGTCTAGAAGCCCCCAGGGTGGGCTGAGAAAAGAAAGTGAATAGAAGTCTTAGTGTTCACTGCTGGAAAGGCAAAGGTGCAGGAGATGTGAGAGTATGTGTGCTGAGGGCATGCAGGTGTATGCCTGGCCCATGCATCTGGGGTGTGCATTTGGGTCTCTATGTGGATGTGTAGGGTTGAGTGCCTAGGTCTCTGAGGACAGGAGTGTGAGTATGTGGGTTCATATGTACCGGGTGTGCCATGGCCATAAGCGGGTTTCCATTTGAGCAGGACCTAGTGGGGTGTGGACAGGGGGCTGGGGTTTCATGGAGCACACTATTTGTATTTAGGTGGCATGTTTTTGGAGGATGGCTGAAGGTGGGGGCAGATGGAAGTTTTGAGATTGGACTGATGGTCTTCAAGCCCCTGTCAAAACTACCTCCCATCTGCTCAGGTGCATGAGAGGGTGGGAGATGTGATGGTAGGGGGAACCATTTGTGGTTCTGACAATGAGATGGCAACCCCCAAGGGCAGGACTCTGTCTTCTTGCTCCAGGACCCAGTGCAGGTCCTGGAGAGAGCTGCTGGGCAGGTTTCAGGTGTCTGCTCTGGCAACCAGAGCAGTGAGTCTTGTCTTCCCTCCCCTCCTCCTGGAGGTCAGTAGAGGTAACTTCTGCCCCAGCTTCCTGCTGAGCATCCTACCACCTTTTGGGTTTCTGCCCTCTCCCCACTTCCTTCTTCTGATGAGGCCACCGTCTCAGCTCCTGATGAGATTGGGATGGGAAGTGCCTCAGCTTTTCTCTCTCAGCTCAGGTTTTCTCCAGGAAGCACACTGGGATTAAATCTTAGGCACTAGGGGGTCCAAGGAGGTGCTTGATGGCGAGGGACACTTCCCACTCCTCCAAATATGGCTCACCTTTGCTAAGCCCTGGGGGCTGGGGGATAAGCAGAGCCTAGCCAGACCCTCAGGAGGACTGAGGGGTCCGCTTCCTTGCAAATGGTGAGCCTTGACTATCTGAAGGGGGTCCGGCTCAGCCTGCTGCTTTCTTTTCCTGTGTCTCTTCCTCTTGCTGTCTCTGTGTTTCGTCTCTCTTTATCTCTCTTATTCTGTCTCTGTTTCTCGTGCTCTCTGTATCTCTTTTCTGTCTCTTATCTCCTATTTCTCTTCATCTCTCTCTCTCTGCCCCCTGGTCTCTATTTTTGTCTCTTTTAGTCTCTCTCCTCTTTCTTGCCTGATTTTCCTGCTTACTTCTGCATCTCCCCAGTGGATAAGAGGCCTTGGTTTGTCAATGTGTGATGCTCTATTCCAGGTACTGGGGATCCATCAGTGAACAGAATAGACAAAACCCCTACTTTCATGCGGCTTATGGTCTAGTGGGGAGACAGATAATAAATCATAAAAATGATAGGTAATTATATAGTATGTTGGAAGGGGACAAGCACCTTGGGAAAAAATAAAGTTAGAGAAAGGGGCTGAGGTGTTTGGGGGCAGGTCCGTTATAATTATGGTGGTCAGGGCAAGAAAAGGATGTGAAAGAGGGCTTTAGCTTGAGGGGAGAGCACTTTGGGCAGAGGGAACCACTGGCACAAAGGCCTCCTCCGGGGCAGCACAGGGCCCTTGATGTGCTGAGCCTCACGGTTGAGAGTGACAGCTGAGCTCTGCTCAGGCAGAGTACTGGGCTGTGGGGCTGCCACCCAGTGCACCATTCAGCAAGGTTTAGAGGACCTACTATATGCCAGGTGCTCCCTGGCCTTGGTGTAGGGACTTGGTGGGGGCTGGGAAACAGGTGTAAATGGGAACAAACAGAAAATTACATGCTGAGAGGGGCTGGGAGGAGATGAAGAGGTACCCTGAGGATGGACACTAATGAGGAGCCAGTGTGAGGGGTGGTGTGGGTCTTCCTCCCTCTGTTTCTCTGAGGAGGGGACATTAAGGCAAGGCCTGAGAGCTGGAATGTGGGCAACATAAGCTAAGAATCATCCAGGCTGTGGGGAGAGGAAAACTATGAGCTGTGACAGGGGAGCCTGGAGGGAGCAGCCCTCCACCCTCTCCCCACCAGCCACCTTCCTGGGGCCAGGGTCTCATATTCATTCAGTTAGATGAATGATGCCTACTGTGGGCCATGCATGGGGGGCCACAGAAGGTGGCACCGTGCCTGTCCTTTCACTGCTGTTCCCCAGTAGCCAGCCAGCATCTGGTACCTAGTGCTCAGTACGTGTTGGTTGAAAGGATAAACAGGACACCATCGGTGTCTGCTCCCCGCCCCCGGGGAGCTCGCAGACATAGATTGGTGCTGTCCTAGCACCTGTAAGGGGGACACCTGGCAGGATGGTGACTGGTCCTTGCATCCCACAGGCTGGGTGGCCCCCGAGAGCCAGATGTGCGGGACGGCTTCAGTGCCACGTTTGAGAAGATCGTGGAGTCGGAGCTGCTGCGAGGCACCCAGTACAGCAGCCTGGACTCCCTTGATGTGCTGAGCCTCACGGATGAGAGTGACAGCTGCGTCAGCTTCGAGGCCCCCCTCACGCCCCTCATCCAGCAGCGGGCCCGGGATAGCCCTGAGCCAGGGGCTGGCTTGGGCATTGGGGACATGGGGTCCGAAGGGGACATGGGAGCAGCTGGTGGTGATGGGGATCTGGGCAGCCCCCTGCGGCGCTCCATCTCCAGCAGCCGCTCGGAGAATGTCCTCAGCCGTCTGTCTCTCACAGCCTTGCCCAATGGCTTCCATGAAGATGAATCCCCAGGCCCTGGTGGGGATGAGGAGGATGAGGAGGAGGAGGACACGGACAAGTTGCTGAACTCGACCAGGTGAGGCAGGGCCCAGGGTGGGAGCACCATTGAGCAGATGGGGAAACTGAGACCCAGAGTAGGCCAAGCAAGTTAGGGCAACCCCAGGTCCAGACTGAACAGCCCTCCGCGAGGTCATCGTGCCCACCCTCTGCACCCAGACTTTCCACTCCCATCCTGAGGTTTTATTCTGCTCTTCCAGGCCTTTCCAGCCTAGACAGGGTCAGGGACCTGAGCATCTAATGATCTCCTTTGAGGGCTTTTCTAAAAGTCTGACTTGATTCCATCCCAATGCAGTGGGGCTTCTTTCTCTGGTCTGGCCTCGGGATTTTCAGAGGCCTGGGGAGAACTTCCGGCCTTCACTCCGGGCCTCTGATCCGTCCTCCCCACCCCCACCTTCCCTCTGCAGCGACCCCAGCCTGAAGGATGGCCTGTCGGACTCAGACTCAGAGCTGAGCAGCTCAGAGGGGCTAGAGCCTGGCAGCACAGACGTGCTGGCCAACGGGGGCCAGGGCGTCAGTGAAGCTGCCCACCGGCTGGCGCGCCGCCTCTACCACCTGGAGGGCTTCCAGCGCTGCGACGTCGCCCGGCAGCTGGGCAAGAAGTGAGTTCTATCTCTGCCCCCCACCCCAGGCAGACCTGGTGTCCTCTTTGTCCTGAAAGGGGTGTGGGTGACTTCTCTCAGGGTGCCTGGTGCTGGGAGATCCTCCTCCTGCCACTGTCCTCATTCCAAGCCTTGTCCTAAATCTGTTTCCTTTCTGGGTTGCCTGGATGAGGGCCCATGCTCTCAGGGAGGGGAGGTGGTGGCGGGGCAGCTCCTCGGGGCTGGGGAGTGGGATGTGATGTGTGGTTATGGGGCCTTGGTGGAAGGTAGTGAGGACAGAGCAGTCGGGTAGGGGTTAGTGGCCCCCCTAATGGGGCCAGGGAGGGAGGAGAACCTGGGCCTGGACTGGGAAACCTGGGACCCAGGAGCTGGGGAAGGGGATCCTGGCCTCATTAAGCCCTACTCACTGTCTCTTGGGACCAGTTGAAGGGACGGAGTAAGTACAAGCCCTGGCCTTGGGACTGAGGGTAGGGGAACAGACAAGAGTCCTGAGGGGTGGGGACAGGCAGGAACTGTGACACTGAGGACATCAGCCAGCCAGCCTGTCCTGAGCAGGTCTGACCACCAGCACGTCCATCCACCTGCCTTGCCCTTCATGCCTTGCCATCCAGGGTGCCCCCAACACCCACATAAGACATTGAGATGCGCAGAAGCGGCCCGGGCCTCCTCAGAGAGCTGGCCGGCTAAGAGAGGCAGTCCGGACCCTACACCCCAAGTCAGAGCTCGCTGGGGGCTTAGGCCACAGGGAGGTCCCTGAGCACCCCCCTCTTATCCCTCCTTCCCACCTCCTCCACAGCATTCCTGCCCCAGGCCTCCTGAGAATCACATCTCTGATACCCTCACCTCTTCCACTGGCCTGTTGCCCCCAAACCCAATGACATCCTCCAGGAGGTTTCAGTACTTGATCCCCACCCTGCCCTGTCTCTTCAACCACTTTGAACCTGTGGATTCTGTGGAATCCGTATGTGGATCCATGTCCTGGAGGATCATGTTCGGAGGATTCTGCCTCCGAAATCTATGAAAGTTTTCCCATCAGCATTTAATTGTGCTTGTCTCTTCTATCTGAAACAAAAATCCTTCTTCAAATATGTTTCCTCCCCCAGGCTCTTCACAGCCAAAATTCTGTTTTCTGCCCTGGGTGGCTTCTGTCCACTCCCCTTTTGCACATTCGGTGCCTCCAGGCTGGCTTTGGCCCCCAGCCTCCTGTCTTTCGAAAGCCCCTATTTTCAGGGTCAGTAGTAGCCTGGTGTCTTCGAATCCGGTGGCTGCTACCAAGCCTGACCTTTCTCCCTACGACAGCTTTGACACATTTGCCACTGCTTTCTTCTTCTTTAATTAAACTTTTTATTATGAAAATTTGAAGCATACACAAAAGCAAGGAAACTCACATCTTAAACCTCCATGTACCCATTACTCACCTTCAAAGTTATCAACATTTTTCTATTCTTGTTTCATCTATTCCCTCCACAGCTTCCCCTCACATTTGCTAGAATATTTTAAAGCATATTTCAGATGGTCTATCATATGATCCATAAATATTTAGTATGTGTCTCTAACTGACAAGGATTTTTTTTACTTATAATAATTCCATTATAATTTCTGACAAAGTTAACAGAAATTCCTTATTATCTCTAACATTTAGTCTATGTTTAATTTTCTCTGATTCTCTCAAAAATGTTTGTTCAAATCAGGATGCAAACAAGATACGTGCATTACATTTGGCCAATATGTCTCTTAAGACTCTTTCAGTCAACTGCAGTTGACAGTCCCCTTCCTTTTTTTTAATGCCTTGTATTTGTTGAAGAAATGGACCCATTTGTCTGGAAGAACTTTCCACATTTTGGATTTCATATCCTCATTTTACACGTTCCTATAAACGGGAGGGAAAGCTGCCGGCTTGATTGGGTTCAGGTGGAAATTTGTTTTCTTTTTCAGCAAGAATTCATCACTCCAGTCTTGAAACACCCTCTTCCTTGGCCTCCGGACACCACACCCATACCTCTCTGGCTGCTATTTCTGTCTCCTTCACTGGCTCGCTTCTCCTCAGCCCACCCTGAGAGGGGCTCTCCTCGCTTCTCCAAGCTGGCTCTTCTGGCTGCTCTGTGTCCCCTCTTCTCACACAGGCTTGTCCCCCTTCCCACTGAGTTGTTAGTAATCAGTGAGGGGCTGACGACCCTCACGGGGGTGCATCCAGCCTCACCTGTTCTCCTGGCTTCGGACATCGCCTCCAGGGGCCGCCCTCTCTTCATGTCCTCTACCCACTCCACCCATCTCCATGTCCTGTGGATTCTGCCTCCGAAATCTCCTTCCTCCCCACCCCTTCCATTTCTTGTGGACAGCTCCTGCAGCCCCTACAGTGGGTCTCCACTCTGCAGGTAGTGTTCCAGATGCAGATCTGACCATCTCAGTCACCCCCTCCCTGCTTCACACCCTTCCAAATCAAGTCCTCATCCTTCCCTTGGCCCTCAGACCTGGTTCCCTCCCTGCCTCGTCTCTTGCTGCTCCTATTCCTGCTCTCTGGCTCTGGCCACATGGCCCTGCTGGTAGCTTCTTGGACATATTATGGAGTTTCCTCTACTGGGGACACTTTCTATCACCCTACCCCCTGCTCCCTTCACCTGGCTGGCTCTTACTTTCCTGTAGGTATTGGATGAGACATCACTTCCTCTAGGAAGCCATCCTGACCCCGCGGGCACAATGGTGAATGGAGTCAGAGTCTGACTGGCCAGCAGGGGAGGCATAAGAGAGTTGGGCAGGTCTGGGTGGGTGGGTCAGAGTCCCTGTGGGCCCACTGCCCACATACCCCCATTGTTTGCTGTGCCCTGCTTCTAATGGACACCCCCTGCTCTCCTGGCAGCAACGAGTTCAGCAGGCTGGTGGCCGGGGAGTACCTCAGCTTCTTTGACTTCTCGGGCCTGACTCTGGACCGAGCGCTCAGGTCAGTAGGGCTGGGATGGGGCAGTGCCCACAGGTGGTACAGCTGCATATCTGGATTTTCACGCCAGCTCTACTATAAACTTGCTGTGCAGCCTTAGGCAAGTCTCTTGACCTCTCTGGGGAGGCTCTTGGGAAGGGACCATGAGAACAGCAGCAGTCCAGTGACTCAGTGAGTGCCTGCTACGTGGTGGGTGGTGGTGGGGTGCTGAGGATAGGGAGGTGGGAATGCAGGAGAGGAAAGGTCCAAAGGTCTTGCCTGTACTGAGCACTTCCTGTCTGCCAGAGGCTGTAGGTCTTTACATAATTGCGGAGTGCATTGTAGCAACACCTCTGTAAGGTAGGCATCTACCATTTACAAATGAAGAAACATGGGCCAGTTCTCCATAGTCCTTGAGGGAGGAGATGGTCAAAGTGGAATTTGACCTCAGGCCCTGTTGGTGTTTGGACCTGGGGAGTACACACCCCAGGTAGCGGAGGGCGTGGAATGGGAGGAGACAGCTCGGTGTCTGGTGGACCCCATTGGCAGAGCCCCCTGGGAGACCCCAGGCCAGAGCGCTGGCAGGGAGGGGCGGCAGTCTCTGAGCTGAGGGGTGGGTGGCCCATGTACATTACATCTCTTCACCTCCCATGTGTCTCTCGTAGTTTAAAAAATGTATTTTCCATACTTTTTTTCTCTGCTTCAGTCGGGTTATTTTCTGTTGACCAATTTACTTACTGTTTCTCTAATATGCCATTAAACCCATTTATTGAGTTTCAACTTTCTATTATTTTATTTTTCAGATCTAGAATTTTCATTTTATTAAACAATTTTTTTTGTAGGTTTGAATTCTCTTGGAGGGGGAATTCCTCATCTTTTCACTTATTTCCACTTATTTTCTCCATCTTTCCCTCTCTTCTCTTGAACAAATTAGTCGTAGTTATTTGAAAGTCCTTGTCTACACACCCTGATATGTGCATCATCTGAAACATCTGTCTCTGTTTCTGTCATTTTTCTCTTGGTTTTCTGTCATATATCCTGTCTCTCTGTGTGCTTAGTAATTTTTTGTTAGATGCTATACATTTTGTGTAGAATTACAGATCTATAGTTCATTATATGTTCCTCCAGAGAGGGTTTACCTTGTCCTTTGCTATGTAGTTAGAGGAGGGCAGGGGGTACAGCCCTAATCCTTCCAGAGCTGAGCCAAGGAGAGACTGCCCTGAAGTTTGATAAAGCTTGGGGTTCACCCCAATCGCAGGGCAAAGGCCGCCGGGCTGTCCACTGGAAGCCCGGTGTGTGCACTGGGGTGTCTTCCGTTGGTGGGTCCTGAATCCTAATTTTGTCTCCTCATTGCTGCAAGACTGTCAAAAAAGCCAATCCCTCTACTTCTCAGAGAGGCTTTCTGCTTAGCTTTTTAGCGTCTTGCCCCTTACATCTTCATATTTTGGCAGATATCTCACAGGGAAAACTGGCCATGTTTACAGCCCCTCAAGTCTCCCGGTTTGTCTCTTCAGCTCCGTGAAACCACTAAATGTTCTGCCTCTTGCCTGTGCCCACGGTCAGCAACGCCCCCAGGGAGGAAGCAGCTGCAGATCAGCCTACCTCTCCTCACTTCTTTTCTCTCCAGATCCTTGGTCCTGTTGGTGTTTGTTGCGCAGCAGTTTTCTGATAGCTTAAGAGAGATGTATTCTCTATGGCTTTTCTCATTGTTCTCAGTGGAAGTGTTGGTCGGCTGCAAGCTACCCTATTCCAAGCTGAGTCTGAAGTTCACACCAGATGATTGGGTGGGGAAGGTGCTTGGTAGGTCGGCTTACAAGCAGAGGCAAGGGTGCTGGGCTGGAGGGCCTTGTATATCCAGCCTAACAGATTGAGGCTTGCCTGCATAGGCTCTGAGGGGCCTCAGAAGGTGCTGGCTGCAAAGCGGTGTTTGGTGTGCTGGTTGCTTTGATCCAGAGGTGTGCGGGCTTCTGAAGAGGATCAGGTGGGAGAAGACGGGCCTGAAGTTTGCAGTGGGGCTGGAGGAAGGATTGGTGTGAGAAGCACAGAGGAAAGAATAGAAGAGCTGGTGGTGCCACGAGGCCGGGGAGAGTGTGGGCAGTAGCAAAGCTGATCCTGGGGGGAGCCTGAGGGTTTGGTTGGCTTGGTGAAGACCCCCGGGGATGGAGTGTCTGGTCTGGGAAGTAGCAGGTGGGCTGGATGGCTCCTAGGCAGGACAAGTTAAGGTTGGGATGGGGGATGGGTTTTGGAAAGTCCAATGGAGTGTGAGGAGCAGAGGGAGGGGCCAGATGTGGGGAAGAAAAGAGGGCACAGGAGAGACAGGGAAAGGAGGAAACGTAGATGGCAGATGGAGTGTTTTTGTACAGCAGTGATTGGTTAGGACTGTATTAGAGAGTAGTCTGCAGTTTTGGATGTCTTGGGAAGCCTCTGAGGGTAAAGGCTGGCCACAGTGCAGCTCGCAGGTCCCAGGGTGCCTTAGAGGTAGCATGAGAGAGGATAAAGCCATGTGGGCATTACAGGAGCCAAGTGAACCATGGCAAAATTAGGATCAAACCAGTCTCATGAACCTAGGACAGACAGAGGTCCAAACTGTCTCAGCTTGTACTTTCCCTTCCCAGTAAGGGTTGTGTCTAGGCCCCAGGTGAGGGACCTCAGCCCCATCTCCCAGCCCCTCTGGTTTTGGTCTCCTCTGCCAGGGACCCCTGAGAGCTGTTGGCCTTTAAATTGGGCCTTGAGACGGTTTCAGAGCTGCCCTGCAGAGGAGGGACTGTCCTTCCAGGTGGGGCCCAGCCTGCTCAGAGGCAGTGACAGGGCCTGTCCTGTCCAGGGTGTGAAGTCAGTGTGGGGAGGCAGCAGGTGGGTGTGAGGTAGGAGGGATAGGAGGGAGGTAGGGTGGTCAGGAAGGTCAGGACGCAAGGAGCTTGGATGTTATTCTGAGGCTCTGGGGAGCCAGTGACGGGTTTTAGGCAGTGGCGAGTCCTGACTGCATGAGTGTTTAGAAAGAGTGCTCAGTGTCCGCAGGGAGAATGTGTCGGGGAGGTGCATGGGGTTCACCTGTCTGGAGGCTGTTGCAGGTGTCCTGGGCATGTGATGAGGGCAGAGGAGGAGGAGGGATTGAGATTGGGGGTGAAGAATAAACCATGGGGACTTGGTGACCACTCAGACTTAGGGTGGGGGAAGTGAGGGAGGCTGGGGTGGGCCTGGGGCTCAGCTGGTAGTGCATCGAGTGAGGAATGACTGAGGGAGAGCAGTCTGAGGAGCAGGTGTGGATGGTCTGGACCCAGCGTGGAGGGGGAGCGAGGAGTGGAGCTGGTTCTGTCACTGAGCTGTTCGCCTGTCTCTGTTCTTTACAATCTGTCCCCTGCCTACTTCCAGAAGGGCCCTGCAGGGTAAGGAGTGCTGAAACTCCACACTCAGAGGCCATCATGGGGGCCAAGGTGCCTCCCTGGGCCCAAAGGCTGGGCCCTGGGGCTTGGCCCCCTTGGGCAGGTTTGTGTGGTGTGTGTGTGTGCTAGGGGGGCTCCTATCCCAGGTGAGGATCCAGACTGACTCAGGAGCCCTGGGAGGCCCTCAGCAACCTTGAATTGCTCTTCAGAACCTTCCTGAAGGCCTTCCCGCTGATGGGGGAGACGCAGGAGCGCGAGCGAGTCCTTACGCACTTCTCCCGCCGGTACTGCCAGTGCAACCCTGATGACAGCACTTCGGAAGGTAGGCCCCCTACTCCCCTGGCCCACCTGCCCCCAGCCAGGCCCGGGCTTCCTCCTCCCCCTGGTCCACTGCCACTTCTGTCCTGCTCAGTAAACACAAATGAATGAACTATGACACGTGGAATGGGGACTGTCTGCTGGACAAGGGACAGTTCTCCTGCCCATTGTTCCCTGTGCCTGAAGGTCCTCTATCCTAGATTCAGCCCTTTGGGTCCTCCTTCTCTAGGGGTCCCCTGTCACAGTGTTGATTGTTGGTGCAATGGGAGTCCTGGGGTGGAGGTCTGGGTTGGGGCCCTCTTAAGTGCAGGACTTGCCCTATGGGTGGACCTGAGTCCCAAGACCTGGGGCACTAGGCAGGTTATTAGAGGAAACACAGGCCATGAAGGAGACATAGCCTGGCACCCAGGGCCTTTCCTGGGTCTAAGGCTCAAGGTGAGTTTGGCCACAGGAGGCAGAAATCTGCCCTAGAGCAGGTCCAGGGTGGTCAGGTCCCCTCTAAGGGGAGGGTTTATCCTGACCTGAGGCAGGCGAGTGACCCTGATGCTATAGTGGGGCTGAGGCAAGGAGCATCACGCAGGCCCTGGGCCCCGAGGTTTGTAGGTGACTGGTCTCTTCCTGTCTGCAAGGCCTCTAGGCTGGCTCTGTCAGAAGCCAGGTGGATGGCTGGGGTTGGAAATAGCTGGGTCTTCACACTGAGGGTGCCACCATCTCTGATTTAGATGGGATCCATACGCTCACCTGTGCCCTGATGCTGCTCAACACAGACCTGCATGGACATGTGAGTTGAGGGAGCAGTGAGAGGGTGTGTCCTCTCACTGACCCATCCTGAGTTATCCAAGAGCTGGCCCTTTCTCCAGCCCCCTTCCTGGGACCTCCTGCTCACTGGCCCATGTTTCTTTAGCAGACCTGGGAGTTGGACAACTTGGCTTCTAGACTTGGTCCCACCCTAGTTTTATCCACCTGAGATCTGTCTGGCCCTGTGCCCAAACAGGGCAGTAAGAAGAGCTGAAACACACGGGAATTTAGGATGTGCTAAATAAGATGTGTGCCCCTAGCCATGTCTGTGCCAGGCTAAAAGATCACATGCTCTTCCTACCCCTTGTGCTCTAAGCCCCAGTGCAGCCCTGTTGAAGTGCCATGCCCCAGGCAGCCCCTTCTGGTCACATGGTAGGATGCCCTCAAGAGGCATTCTTGTTACCCCTACCCCGACTAGGCAAACAGAGAAGCAACAGGTGGGTGCCCCGTGCTGTGAACCTGTGTCTGGTCCGTGCCCTAGGCAGCCCGTTAGTGGGTATAGTGAGCATCTCAGCGCTGCTTGTGGCTCAATACCTCCTTCTTCTTTCCTCTGTCTGCTCCGGGGACCCCCTCACTGGGCTCTCTTGCCCTCCCTCAGGTGGTAAGTGTAGCTGGTGGTGTGCATGCCCTGTGAGCCTAGAACCCCATCTCATATCTCCTTCTGTGTCCCCCATCACCCTATCTGGCCCCACTGATCACTGCCCCCTCATTGCTCACCCACGGGTGGTCAGAGCCCCTCTGTTGGGTTGGGGATGTTTCAGTGACTCATGGGGACAACAGGACACACATCTACTTCAGGAGTTAACCAGGAAAGTCCAGGGCATATATGGTGGAAAAAAGAGCTGGGACAGGCTCAACTTCAGTTCCTACTCTTGCCTCCAGGTGGTACCTCTGTGGCCGTGGGCAAGACACTCGCTTCTCTGGGTCTCAGGTTCTACATCTGTGCGGTGGGAATAATGATTTCCTTCTTAGCACCCTGGGGAGGACTGAGAGAGGTATCCCCAAGTGTCAGGGTCTGGCAATGAGTAAGGATCTTATTATGCATATTATTATGTAATAATATTAATATTATTCATTGCTAATATTAAAATCTAAATGATGGTGAGTCCGAAGGCCCAGGCCCTGGAGGATGAAGGATGTGACAGCAGCCTGAGCAGGCGTGGGCACACTGGGGCACCTGGCCTGGGGAGGGAGGGTCCTCGGTGACCTCAGCACAAAGAGGAGTTGTGTGACAACTTCGGTTATGTCCACCTGGGCCATCAGCCTGAGTGTGGAATAGGAGAGAAGACGTGTATTCCACGGGAATGTCACCAGAGCTAGTACCCACTAACAGGCTGATGTTCATCCGAGACTGCTCACTGTTTACAGAGAGCAGGTGTTGCTAGCAGACCTTAAAAGGAACGTTAAGTACCCCTTCTCTCCCCATCCCCACGCTTGGTAGGGCTGAGGCCCATCTCAGGACCCAGTCACTGCTGTGCCAAGCCCTGGATGCCTTTCCCGTGGTTGAGAGCTGCTAACAGGGGCAGCATTCGGTGAAATCTGGGTGGAGAGTACCCTCCAGCTTGGTGGGCCTTAGCTGCCCACGGCACCACAGTAATGCCCGCAGCTCAAGAGAAACATCAACACCTTCATAGATCAGAAGTGAGTGAGGCAGGATTGTTCACACTTGTAGCCCACAGACATTGAATACCCATGTTTCTCACTGTGCAGTATTGCACAATGATCAGGAGCAAGCATTCTGGGTTGGAGTCCTTTGCATTTCTCCACAGGACAGCTTGTGGCCTGGGGCCAGTTACTTGTTTCCCTAAACCTCAGTTTCCCCATTGTAAAGCTTCTGGGAAATTTAAGAAGACAGCACTTGTAAAGCACTGGGCCCAGGGCTGGGTTGTGGCAGTTACTGTGAGCTTTCCAAAGGGCCCCTGTGGAGGTGGCATCCCCTGCTTCGTGCTTTCCCCCCTCCCTTGCTCTTCTCATTCTGCTGCTCTTCAACAGAGACTGAGTGCCAGGTGGAAGACGGGGATCTCAGGAATGCAGGGCCTGCTAGGGCCCCCAGAAATAGATCTGGTCAGAGAGGGAGCCAGTAAAGGGGCTGGCAGAGGGAGTAGGTGCACACTCTAGTGGAGGAATCAGGAGGGCTTCCTGTAGGAGGTGCATTTGGACTCTAGGAGCTGAGCACCTTCTGTGGTCCATAAACAAGGAGGAAAGAGAACTTCTGCCTCAGGGTGCCTACCATCTAGTTAGAGGATTTAGAAAATAAATAAGTAAACAATTGATTACAAATAGTGATAGGTCTGTGAAGGGAATAAGTAGGTGGGTGTGATGGGGTGAGACTGGGGTCAGGGAAGGCCTCTCAGAGGAGGCAGGGTTGGGGAAGAGACGTGGAGGATCAGCAGGAGTCAGCCATGGAAAGATGGAGAACAAAGCCTTCCAGGCAGAGGGACCAGTAAGACTGGTTTCTACCTTTTGGCTATTGTGAACAGTGCTGCTATGAATATTGGTATATAAATGTTTAATTATTTTACAGTTTATTTTTATTATTTTATTGGATGAAAGAGTTTAAATTCTTTAGCAAGTTACAGTTTTCAAAATGTTTACACACATAATTGCATATAATCCCATAATAACCCTCCCCCCATGTTGCCCCTCCCCTTTCCCCTCGCCCCACTGGTAACCACTAGTTTGCTCTCTGTGAGTCTGTTTCTTTTTTGTTTTATTCACTAGTTTGTTGTATTTTTTTAGGTTTCACATGGGAGTGATACCATACAGTTTTTGTCTTTCTCTGTCTAACATATTTCACCTAGCATAAGTTTTTGTTTGAGTACCTGTTTTCGATTGTTTTGAGTGTATACCTAGGATTGGATTGCTGGGTCATATGGTCGTTCTCTGTTTAACTTTTGGAGGACAGTAAAACTGTTGCCATAGTGGCTCTGGTTTGAAGCTAGGTGGGAGATGATGGTGCCTCGGGCAGACAGGGCAGTGAACGTGGAGAGAAGGGACTGATGAGGGAGACCAGTTGAGGGTGAGTCTGACAGGACTTGCTGATGGGGCTGCTCAGGGAAAGAGAGGAATAAGGATGGGTTCAGCATCTGGCTGGATGGCGGTGCTATTTCCTGAGAGGGAAAGGAAACACCTCTGTGTGTGTGGAGGCTGTGGTGAGTGGGAGAGCTGGGATTCGAGTCCCATTTTTGACACATTGTGTTTGAGATGCCTACTGGTCATGAATTTGGGGTTGCCAAGGAAGCAGTGGGATAAATCTGGGATGCCAGAGAGAGATGGGGTGAGGAGGTCACTGCCATCCTGATGGAATAAAAGCCATGAGACTGGCTGAGTGCCTTAGGGAGAGAGGCAGGCTGGTGGCCTCATCCTGGGGTGTGATGTTATTTAGAGGTCAAACAGAGCAGCAGGAGAGGCTTTGATGCAGCCACAGAGATTGGAGGAAAAGTGGGACTGTGTGGTGTCCCAGAAGCCAAGAGAAAAATGCGTTTCAAGGAGAAGGGAGTGGCCAACTGTCTAAAAGGCTGCCATATGGTCAAGAAAGATGACAACAACAGAGAAATGACCATTGGGGTTGGAATGGCCATCAGTGGGTCATTATCATTGGATGGTCAAGGTCATTGGAGACCTTTACAAAAGCACTTTAGGTGGGGTCTCGCGAGGACTAAATGCCAGGCTGGAGTGGGTGGAGATGAGGATAGGCGGTGAGGAAATGGAGGCTGTGGAGAATTCTTTCACTATCTTTGGCTTTGAGTGGAATCTTAAAATAAGCCAGGGGCTGGAGGGGTCTAGGAGGGACTGTTTGAAATCTTATTAGACCATGTATCTATGCCAATAGGATCCACCAAGCAGGAAAGGAGAAACTGATGGTGCAGGACAGAGAAGGGAAAATGGAAGCTTTCCTTGAGATGAGCAGCTGAGCATAGGTGGAGAGAGGCCTTAGCTGGGAGTAGGGACACTCATCCTCCATGATAGAGTGAGCTGGAAGGGGAGGATGTCAGAGGATGGTGGTTTTAACCTCCAGACAAGAGAAGGTGGCGGCTCTGGTTAGAACTGGACATGGAGACAGGGAGAGAAATTAAAAATGTATTTTGGCTGTACAGTCAATAACACTGGTTAATGGAGTGAATGTTGGGGTGAGGGAAGGAGAAGCATCTCGGATGAGGCCAGTAGAGAGAGGGGAGGAGATGGTGGGAGAAGCTGTGCCATGAGCTTCAGAGCTGAAAGAAAGATGAGTGTGCAACCATCACTGCTCTCTGGTTCCAGAATATTTTCAGCACCCCCAAAGGAAATCCTGTACCTATTAGCGGTCACTCCTCATTCTCTCCTTCCTCCAGGCCCTGGCAACGACTGATTTGCTCTGTTTCTATGAATTTGCCTATTCTGAATGTTTAATGTAAATGGATGCATACAATATGTAGCCTTTTGTGTCTGGCTCCTTTTACTTAGTGTAATGTTTCCAAGGTTAACCCATGTTATATCATGTGTCAGTATTTCATTCCTTTTTATGGTCAAATAATATTCCATTGCATGAATATGCCACATTCTGTTTATCCATTTGTCTGTTAATGGATATTTGGATTGTTTCCACCTTTTGGGTACTGTGAATAGTGCTACTATGAACATTTATGTACAATTTTTGTTTGAACACCTGTTTTCAATTCCTAAGAGAAGACCAGCTGCATCACATGGTAATTCCATGTTTAACTTTTTCAGGAAATGTGGAACTGTTTTCATAGTGGCTAAACCATTTAAAATTCCCACTAGCAGTGCATAAGGGTTTCAATTTCTTCACTTTCTTGAAACACTTCTTTTCTTTTCTTCTCTCTTTTTTTTTTTATTTTTAGAGATAGCTATTCTAGTCAGTATGGAGTATCTTATTTTGGTTTTGATCTGTATTTCCTTAATGACCAATGATGTTGAGTATCTGTTCATGTGCTTGTTGGCCATTTGTATATCTTCTTTGGTGAAATGTCTATTCAAGTGCTTTGCCCATTTTAAAAAAAAATTTAATTTTTATTAAAAATTATGGTAAAAATTGTGGTAAAATAAGCATAACATAAAATTTACCATCATCACTACTTTAAAGTATATAGTTCAGTAGTATTAAGTCTATTCACATTGTTGTGCACCCCATCTCCAGAACTTTTTCATCTTCCCAAACTGAAACTCTGTACCCATTGCACAACTTCCCATTCCCTGATCCCCCCAGCTGTTGGCAACCACCATTTTACTTTTTGTCTCTATGAATTTGATGACTCTAGATGCCTCATGTAAGTGGAATCATATAGAATTTATATTTCTGTGACTGGATTATGTCACTTAGCATAATGTCCTCAAGGTTCCTCCATGTTGTAGCATGTGGCAGAAATTCCTTCCTTTTTAGGACTGAATACTATTCCACTGTATGTATATACCACATTTTGTTTATCCTTTCATCTGCTCATGAACATTTGGGTTGCTTCCATCTTTTGGCTTCTGTGAATAATGCTGCTGCAAACATGGATGTGCAAATATTTCTTTGAGACTGTGCTTTTAATTCTCTTGGGTATATACCTAGAAGTGGGATTGCTGGATCATATGGTGATGTTATTTTTCACTTTTTGAGGAACAGCCATATTGTTTTCCATAATGACTGCACCATTTTACATTCCCACCAGCAGTGCACAAGGTTTCTAGTTTCTCCACATCCTTACCAACGCTTGATATTTTCTGTTTTTTGATAGTAGCCAAGTTATGTCGTATAATGGTTTTGATCTGAATTTCCCTAATGATTAGTAATGTTGAGCATCTTTTCTTATACTTACTGATCATTTGTATACCTTCTTTGGAGAAATGTATATTTTTAAATTGGATTGTTTGTGTTTTTGTTGTTGAGTTCTAAGAGTTCTTTATATGTTCTGGATTTTGTACCCTTATCAGATATATAGTTAACAAAAATATTCCCATTCTGTGGATTGTCTTTTCACTCTCTTGACAGTGTCTTTTGATGCACAAAAGCCTTTAATTTTGATGCAATCCATTTTATCTGTTTTTTCTTTTGTTGTGTGTGTTTTGGCATATCTAAGAAACCATTGCCAAATACAAGGTCATGAAGATTTAGCCCTATGTTTTCTTCTAGGAGTTTCTTAGTGTTGGCTCTAATTGCTCTGGTTCGAACTTCCACTACAGTATTGAATAGAAATGGGAAAAGTGGGTATCCTTGCCTTTGCCTGATCTTAGGAGAAATGCTTTCAGTCTTTCACCATGATGTATGACATTAGCTGTGGGTTTTCATAAATTCCCTTTATCACACTGAGGAAGTTCTCTTCTATTCCTAGTTTGTTGAGTGGTTTTTTTTTTAAATCATGAAAAAAAAGTTGAATCTTGCCAATTGCTTTTTCTGTATCAATTGAAATGATCACATGTTTCCCCCCATTCATTCTGTTAATGTGGTGTATTATGTTAATAGAGTTTTATATGTTGAACCACCCTAGCATTCCTGGGATGCATTCCACTTGGTCATGGTATATAATCCTTTTGATATGCTGCTGTTTACCAGTATTTTGTTGAGGGTTTTTACATTTAAATTTATAAGGGATATTGGTTCATCATTTTATTTTCTTGTGATTTCTTTGTCTGGTTTTGGTATCAAGATAATGCTGGCCTTATAGAATGAGTTAGGAAGTGTTGCTTCTTTTTTCAGTTTTTGCAAAGAGCTTGAGAAGTACTGGTGTTAATTTTTCTTTAAATGTTTGGTAAAGTTCACTAGTGAAGCTTTCCTTTTGTGAGGTTTTTGATAACTGATTCAATCTCTTTATTTCTTTTTAGGTCTGTTTAGATTTACTATTTCTGCTTTAGCCAGTTCTGGTAGTTTGAGTGTTTCTAGGAATTTGTTCATTTCATCAAGGTTGTCTAATTTGTTGGCATTAATTAATTGATTATTGTTACCAAATTAATTCTTTAGAATTCTTGTTCTTCCTGTTACTGAGAGAGTAGTGTTAAAATCTCCCAACCAAGATTGTCAATATCTTTCTTTTTCAGTTCTGTCAATTTTTGTCTTTTATTTTTTGAGACTATGTTATTAGGTGCATACAAATTTAGGATGCTTATATCTTCTGGTAGATTGACCCTTTTATCATTTTGAAATATCTTTCTTTATTAGTAGTAAGGCTTCTTGCCTTGAAGTCTATTTTGTCACTTGTCAGTATAGTTATACTGGAGTTCTTCTGTAGTAGAAAATATGTTTCTATCCTTTTGCTTCCAAGATTTCTGTTCCCTTGTACTTAAGAGGGGTCTCTTGTATCATATATTTTACAAAAATCAAGTCTGATAATCTTTGCCTTTTAATTTGACCATTTAATGAATTACTGATATATTTGATTTCAAACATATCAGGGTACTCTTTCTTTTCTCTTTGACTCATCTGTTCTTGTTGCTTTTTTCTTCTCCTTTATTGACTATTTTGGATTATTTAATTTTTTTGTAGAGTTTCATCTTCCCCATTAGCTTGTTAGTTGTGAATTCTTTTAGAATTCTTGTTGTGGTTTGCAATATGCATCACTGACTTTAACCACATGCTGGGGAATGAAATAATCTTACAACACTTTATCATCCTCTCAACTCATATACTATTGTTATCATCCTTTTAACTATTATATCTTTTTCTATATTTTATTCCCTGGAATATTTTATTATCATTGCTTTGTCAATGTTCATTTAGATTTAGCCACTGTTTTTGTTGCTTTTCATTCCTTTCTGCTTCTCTATGCTTCCATTTACAATAACTTTCTTTCTGTCTGAAGAACCCCCTTTAGTATCTCCTGTCTTAATTTCAACTTTTTTTGATTGAAGTATGATTGGGGGGTTTCCCAGGGCTCCTTGTATTTGGTGGGCCCTGAATTCCAATTTTTGTTCTTTGTTTTTGTTTTTATTCTTGACCACTTAGTTGCTCAGCCTTTTGGCATGGCTTGAGAATTGACAAATGCTTCGAATAAAAGCTGCTCCTCTCTCCATGCTTCCCTTCTTTGCCCAGTCTTTACCCTTGAAGTCCTCACTGCTCTTCTATTTCTCCAGTGTCTTCACACAGATGTTTTATTAGTATTCTGACCAGCAGTTGTTTCTGATGAGAAGGTTCATCTGCAACAAGATAGTCTACCATTACTCAGATTGGAAATCTTGCCTGGTTATTTTTTGATTTTGTACCCCTTACTGATGGCTGAGTGTGTGGAACTCAGACAATATCATCAGTATTGCCTTCATACTCCTCAATTATGAATGTGCACGTAAGTGACTATATACATGTATATATACATACATATATGTACATGTAAAATATACATATGAAACATACTATATTAAGGTACATATAGGATCATTTTTCTTAACCCTTTGGAAAAGGTGTAGAAAATTCTTGCTTGTCACCTACTTATAAAGCTTTATATCATTGTTTTCTGAGTTATTTTCTGTGATGTGTGAATGTCCCACATGATGTTCATAGATTCTCTTTGCTGAAATGGTGCTAAGGTCAATACATTTGGGAAACTGTACATGGAATCCTCTCCTTGGAGACTCTCAACAAACAGAAGCACATGAAACATGTAAATTAACTCATTTGATTATGAAATCCTTTTTAGGGGGGATTCCTATTCCCATCTGTAGGTGAATCTTGGGAAACACTGCCTTATAGCAAACCTAAATCCACAAAGTCCTACACCAGTAAATATCTGGTGTTCCATGGTCTTTGTCTTCACAAAGGTGAAGTTTCCTCAAATGTGGACCCTGCAAGGAAAGTCTGAAAGTATGCACCTCAGGTGTTGGGTGTGGATGGCTGAAGCCCCTCCTCTACTCAGTGACTTAAAAAAGAAGACAGAACTTTGGGGTCCAGTCATTCCCAGCTCTTTGTCTATTTGTGCCTCCTGGAGTGAAACCATCTGCTTGGGTTCCTTTGGTCCCAGTGCAGCCAGCATGTGGTACCCATGTATGTTGGTGGAAATTAATTTTTGATTCTTTTAAGACCAAACTCTCCCTCACTTCACCTACCTCTTGGAGGTCTTGCCGCCCCTCTGTACAGGTGAGAGGGTGAGACAATTGTGACGGAATACACAGAGCTTCTGCTCAGGAGCCAAGAGTCCTGGGTTCAAGTCCTGGTGCTGTGTGACCTTGGGAGAGTTAACCATGGAGTAGCGGGTGAGAGCACGGGCTTTGGTGTCAGACACACTCAGCCCTTCTACTTCCTTGCTGTGTGATCATGGGCACGTCACTTCACCTTCCTGCACCTCAGTCTCCTTACCTGTTGAATGGGGATGATAATAACACTCACCTCACCTTCTCTTCATTGTGAGAAGGAAATAGATAATGCATGTCAAGCACAATACCTGCAACATGCTCGGCACCTGGCACATGTCAGCTGTTACAGTACTTCATCTAACCTGCCTCCTTCATCTGGATTTGAGAAGAACCCCAACCTCTCATAATGCTGGAGGATCAGATAGAATCTGGAGTGTCAAAAAGAGTTTTGTAAACTCTTGGAGACAAAGGGAAATCCAGGCAGTTTTTTTTTTCCATTACTGCCCTTGATTCTGCCTCATCCCTTCTGTCCGGGCAGGGCAGGGTGTGGGGACCACACCAGCCTCCATTCCTACTCTCAGGCAGAACCATTTCTCCATTACAGAACATTGGCAAGAAGATGTCCTGCCAGCAGTTTATTGCCAACTTGGACCAGCTGAATGATGGCCAAGACTTTGCCAAAGACCTGCTGAAGGTATAACCATGCACTCAGCTGTGTCCAGGGTAGGTGGGGAGGAGAGAGGTTTCTGCCCCACTAAATCCTGGTAGTCCAGATTCTTAATACAGGGGTCAGGACTGTGATGACTCTGGGACAGAGGTAGAGACTATCCAGCTCAACACTCGATTGTTACGTGTTCCCTGAGTTAGGCGGAGGGGTAGGCTTTGTGAGAGTTGTTTTTAGTGCTCCACTATGATTATTGCTGTCATGGTAATCTTCAAAACTGCCACCCACTGCCATAGCTGCCTCCGCTGTCACCACCCTTTATCACCACTACCATCTTCACCACAACCACCATTATCATCACCACAGGGAAATGCCCACTCATTCCTTCAATATCACCAGGAGTTAAGGGAATCTAGTTTTCTTTTAAGGCTGAAGACCAGGGTGGAACTCTGGCCTTTCCAGCCTGGTCAGTTCTCTACCGTGGAGGAACAGGAGCAGGTTTTTGGGGGATAGATGATGAGTTCAGTTTTAGAAAGTGAGTTGGGAGGACCTGATGATATCAGGTGTACAGTTGAGTAGTGAATCTGGCAGTTAAAAAATAAACATTGTCTCCATCACTCTTTTTTTTTTAACCATAATTATCTTCTTCACTGTCAGGAAGCACTTGTTAAGAGTGTATTTTTAGTGGGATCAAATAATCCCAGTCCCTTCACCCACCTATCTACTTCTCCCTATGTCCCCATCCACTCATCTACTCATTCTCCCATACATCTATCCTTCCACCCACCCACCCACCCTGCAACTCAGTCATTTACCTGCCTACACACTGACTCATTCATCCATCACCCACATATACACTTCTACACAGTCCTCTATAACACTCTGCATCCATGTACCTACATACATATTCACCCACCCATTTCCCCACCCATTCACCAATCTACCGACCCATCCACCCACTCATCCTTAAGTCTACCCAATCATCTAAACAATAATCCACCCACTCTTCCCCCATTCATTCACCCATCCTATAAACAAGTGTGAATCAAATACCCACTTTGCCCTGCTGGCTGAAAAGGTGCTCCCTCACTGCATCTACGTTGCTAGAGGTAGATGGAGATTTCTTTGACTTCATTGAACTCTTCTCTCTCTCTTTTCCCCTCTCCCAGACCCTTTATAACTCCATCAAGAATGAAAAGCTGGAATGGGCCATGTGAGTAGTGCTCATGGGCATAGGCATGGGAAGACTGAATTACTGGGAAGGAGAAGTGGGAGTAGCTAGGGGTATAGGGAAGGCACTCCTGTTACTCTCCATGGTGCTGATTTCTCCCACCAGGCCCTGGTGACCCCTGTCCAGCTGGCCAGCTCCGGGTGTTGAGTTCCCCTTTGGGTTCATTTTCTGTCTCGATAAAAAGTGTGCAATGTTTACAGCTATGGAATATATTGAACTGTAACTTTAGTTCCTTGATGTCCACAACTGGTTTTATGTACAGGGGATACTGCCACTATTTCCAAAGATGATAGCTATTTCTCCTCTGGGGGGTAGGCAGGCACGAGGTATGAGCCCCTCTGCAACCCCAGTGACATGAACATGTTTAGATGGTGACTGCTCTTGGCAGTGGGGGGAGGTGACTAACCCCTAACTTCTGCCTCAGCGAGGGCAGTGAGACCTGGAGATGCCCAGCCATCTGGAAAGAGGTGTGGCGACCTTGCTGGCTGGGGAGACTAAGAGGCTCCTGGGGAAAGTTGCTGCCCCACCCTGCTGTACTCCCTAGGGCAGCCTGGGTCTTTGGGTCCACGTAGGAGTCTCAGGCAGGCAGGGATTGTTACGAACCCCAACCCAACTGGGGATATCTGGTGTTCTTTGACCAGGGCTTCAATGGGGAACCTAGACTTTAGGGGCCTCATTTACTGGCCTTCCCCCGCCAGCATGTCCCTGGGGTATGGGCAGCAGCTTCAGTCTTGGCATTGCTTGTCACCTGTGGCACTGCTTCCTGGGGCTGGACAACTCAGGGTTGGAGAGAGGAGATGGAAGACCAGGAAGGAAGCCTGGAAGTAGTAAGGTCTCCAACTTTGTGTCCAGGGGTGAGGATTGGAGCTTGGAGGCCAAAGGTCAAAGCTCAGAGGACAGGGGTCAGAACTGAAGACTCAGGGGAGGAGTTAAAGATCGGGATCTGTGGTCTGGAGTTGGAACCTCCTTATCTCTGCTCTTCACCTCTAACTGGCTTCCAGAGGAGTGGCTGGTGGGGAGAGGGCATGTCGTTGCCGGGCTGAGGCCTCCATGGAGGTGGTACTCAGGCCTAGTACTTTCTAGTGACGAAGATGAGCTGAGGAAATCACTGTCTGAGCTGGTGGATGACAAGTTTGGGACAGGCACAAAGAAGGTGACACGGATCCTGGATGGTAGCAACCCCTTCCTGGATGTCCCGCAGGCTCTCAGTGCCACCACCTACAAGCATGGTGTGCTGACCCGGAAGACTCACGCCGACATGGATGGCAAGAGGAGTGGGTGTCAGGCAGGGAAGGGGCATGGGGAGGGATCCTAATCCAGGGGGGTCCATGCCCGCTTAGCCACTCCCCTGGGAATGCACATGTAGGCAGATATGTAGTGGGGCACAGGGGAGGAGATATTGGGGTGGGTGTTTGTGGCCACACTACCCATGCCTCCCTCCCCAGCGCCCCGTGGGAGGCGTGGCTGGAAGAAATTCTATGCGGTGCTCAAAGGGACCATTCTGTACCTGCAGAAGGTAAGACTGCCTCAGATTCCTTACCCAGGAAGGGCCACCTCAGATCACATCCAGCCCCTGCCTTACATTGCCCAGAGGGTCCTGGGCAGGACCTAGGGCTTAGGCAGATCATGGGTCCTCCCCCATCAGGGGTCTGACTTGGGCTTACCCAGGGCTTTGGTGGTTTCAGGGAGGGGTCTTTTAAGTGTCCAGGGGTTCATAGGATACCCAGTGTAAGGCCTGTTCAGGCTTCTGAGACCAACTGGGGTATTGGGAGGAATGCCTAGTGATTCTTGTTGGGGTGGGCATGGCATCAGAGTGGCAGCATCTGGAAAATGGTGGGATGTATAGGGACAGAGAGAAGGAGAGTGGGGGTGGGCAGTGAGGGTGGAGGAAGTGTGGGTCAGTAGCCTGGTGATGACAGAGGCTTACCCACCCCCTACCCTGCCTGTCCAGGATGAGTACAGGCCTGACAAAGCCCTGTCTGAGGGCGACTTGAAGAACGCCATTCGTGTGCACCACGCTCTGGCCACCAGGGCCTCTGATTACAGCAAGAAGTCCAATGTGCTTAAGCTGAAGACGGCAGACTGGAGGGTTTTCCTCTTCCAGGCTCCGTAAGTAGGAGTGGGAACCCCCTCTCTCTCACCCTAGGCTCAGGATGTACACTGCACACACCCTCCCTCCTTCACCTCAGGGGAGGCACCCCCAGCTTCCCCTGCACATCAGCCACGAGAGCCAGTGTATCTGCTTGGCACAAACCAACAGCGTGGGTCCCTCCCCCACAACAGTGATGCTCAAGTGTGGTCCCCTCAGCGTCTCCTGGAAAACTTGTTAGAAATGCAGTTTCTCTTGTCCCACCTGAGACCTCCTGAGTCAGAAATGCTGGGGATGGGCCAGCAAGTATGTTTTAACAAGCCCTCCACGTGATTCTGATGTGCACGAAGTCCCTATATAAGGGGCAGATGGAACCTTTATGAATCAGCCTCCATTTAAAAGTCAGGGGGATGGGTGGGTAAGACTCACCCGACAGTTTCCCTCTAAGGCTTTCCACTCCCTGCTCCCCATCCTTCTGTGACTTAAGATTGGGGTTTCATGTATCAGATGAACTTAAAAATGGAGGAGGCTAGTAGGTGACCTCTCAGGACAGGCGTGGGCGCCTGGCGAGGCAGTGGGGCAGGGAGAAGAGGGTGGAGTAGGGATGACCAGTTACCCAGCTGCCACTAACAATCCCCCGGGCCTGCTGGCTCTAAGACTCGTTAGCTTCAGGCCTTTAGCCCTGGACCTGGCTGGGCAGCTACATTGTCACATGAAAACCCAGGTCTTGCCTGGGAGCTGAAACCGAAGTGTTGGTCACTACACAGACGTGACCAGGCCCATCCAGCCCCCATCCTCCATCTTTCTTCACTCCTTTGTCCACCTATACGGAGGTCTTTGTGCCCTCTCTGTGCCAGGCTAGTGCTGGGTGCTGGGTGAGGGGTTGAGTCCTGCTGTGAGAAGCCAGTGCCCCCTCCCTCCCCTCCTGTCCCAGGAGCAAAGAAGAGATGCTGTCCTGGATCCTTAGGATCAACCTGGTGGCGGCCATCTTCTCAGCCCCCGCTTTCCCTGCTGCCGTCAGCTCCATGAAGAAGTTCTGTCGGCCCCTGCTGCCCTCCTGCACCACTCGCCTCTGCCAGGTATGAGCTCCTCCCCTGGGGATCACAGCACCACCTCCCCAGGCTGCCTCCCTGGGCGAGCCCTCCATTCAACAGCCCCCACCACGGCTCCTCTCTGGCGCCTGGTCCTGGGCTAAGAGACAAGTCGAAAGGGCAGATACTCTCCTCCATCCCCCCTGCGCCCCACCCCCACTTACAGATGGGAAGACTGAGGCCACACACTGCACGGAGGCCTGGCTGTCTTGTGGTGGGTGGCCTGGGTGTGCCGTGGCGGTGTGTCCTGTGGATGTGGTTGCGGTCTGTGGGCATCGTGTGTGTCTGGGCATGATTGGGAGAGAATGTATGTGTCATAGCGAGAGAGGGACAGGCGAGATTCGGCTGACCTGTCCTCCAGGGCTCTTTGGCTGCCCTCATCGACCCTTAAATGTGTTATTTGTAATCCTTAAAAAACTCCAACTCATCAATGCTCCAGGTTTTCAGGGTTTTTCGAGGGAGAGGAAACGATAAATGGTGGACCACTGCTTGCAAGGGGGAGGGGGAGGGCAGCTCTATACTGCCTGTCTTGTCAGGGCCCTTTCCTACTGGGGTCTTCTCCACAGAGCCCCGGGGCTGCTGCTTATGCCCAGAGCCCCTTGGCCTGCACACACAGTGCACACAGCCGCTGCATGCACACATACTATTCAAGCACACACGTGTTTGTGCATATACACATGTGCTGTACACTCACACTGACACCACACTCGTGTCTGCACACACATGCATATGCACACAGCCCAGGGCCCACATGGCACAAAGTGGTCCAGCTGTCCTGTGGCAGGTGGGGTGTATTGTGTACTTGTCTGTGACAGTGTTCCTGCTGGTCTTTGGATGTGATCCTGGCTCCATGGCCGTTGGACACATCTGGGCATGAATGTGAGAGAATGTGTGTGTTATATGAAGCCGGGGAAGCTGAGGCCAGGCTGCCCCTGGTCTAGTGGATCTGTGTGCATGTGAGAGTCCGTAGGAGTAGGGGCGGTGTCCGGGTGATTGTCTACGTGCAGACACATGTGCAAGGGTCACTCATCTCCTGAGCCTGCTGGGGAGGATCTTGGAGGGCTGATGCCAGTTGCAGCAAGGGAGGAAGGAAGGAGGCAGAGGAGCACTCACCTGGGCCCAGAGCCTGGCTCTACCCTTACATATTTGGTGACTCTGGCCAGGTCTCAGTTTTCCTTTGGTGAAGCAGATCCCAGTGGGACAGGATTAAACCCACGCCTATGAACTCCTGAGAGCAGGACCTCATGGTCCAGGACTTGTCTTTGCAGGAGGAGCAGCTGCGCTCTCATGAGAATAAGCTGAGGCAGGTGACTGCAGAGCTGGCTGAGCACAGGGGTCACCCGGTCGAGCGGGGCATCAAGTCCAAGGAGGCCGAGGAGAACCGGCTGAAGGAGCATTATCTCACATTCGAGGTGGGCCTTTTGTGGGATGGATTTTAAAGGACAGGGCTGGGGCAGGAGGAAGAGGCCAGCTCCTGCCTTCTACATCATTCCTTAACCGGGGCTCCTCCTCTAGGGCTTCCTCACTTTGGGGGCTCTCCTGGGGCAGCCATGAATCATGGTCTCCTGTGGGTCAGTCTCTGCACAGTCCAGCTGCCAGTCATTAATCAAACAATTGTGCCCTCAATTGTGTCTCTCACAGAGCACCAGATGGGCTCCACTGGAGACCCCTGCCACCCCTCTCCATTCTCCTCCAAGCCCCTTCCTCACCTCCACTTTCCCCATAGGCCTGGCTTCTCTGGAAGCTTTTACATCCAAATCACAGAACTCTCAAGCTCTCTCCACGTGATTTTCCCCCTTTTGTCTCCTGCACCTTCTTCATGTAGGTTTATCAAGTGGAGCAACTTGATCTCTCCTTCCAAGCTCTCCTTTTTCCCATCTGGTCTCTCTGTGCCCCACAGGGCTCTGCAGGTGGCCTGACAGAGCAGCACCTTTGTTGAGTGAAGGGTAGGCAGTCTGCTTGGTGAAATAAGGCAGGAACCACTTGTCCATTTTGGACTGACCTGCACATGGGGGTGGACAGACAGGCTGAGAAAGCCAGAAAGCCCTCCAGATGGGAAGAGAAGGAAGTCGCCCATCGTGGTCTCTGGATTTCCATGCAGATTTTTTTTTATTGTAGTGTAGAGGACAGAGAAGAGCTCCCAGGATAGATCCTGACCTTTTGAGAAACATAATGCTGTATAGGTTTTGGAATTCTCAGATCACTCTCTCTGCAATGTAAAAAAGCTATGCTCATTGCCAGGCATGAGTCTCGTCACTTCCCTTGCGTTGACTGATTTAATCCTCCTATCAACTCTGTGAAATGGGTTGTGATTATCCCCATTTTGTAGGTGGGGGAAGAGGTCAGATCCCTTGCCTGAGGTGACATAGTTAAGAAGTGCAGGAACCATGATCCTAACCCAGGTGATTGATTGTGGCTTCAGAGGCCTGGGCTTTCTCACCCCTGCCTGGCTTGGCTGGGGTGGAGTCGGGGTGGGTAGGAGAGGTGAAGCCAGCACCGAAGGGTCTTGTGGCTCATGTGGCAGAGCTGGGTGAGAATAGGGTCTCCTGACCCTTAGTCCCTGCGTCTCCCAAGACCCTGGCCTCTCTCAACTGTGGTGAGGGCCTGAAGCTCAGAGTTAAGGCCTCAAATACTGCCAAATTGCCCTCCCAAAATGTTTACCAATTTATAGCCCCTTTAATAGCTTATGAATGTGTCTCTCTCTGTGTGCCCTCACCAACACTGCACATTATCAAAGTTTTAATCTTCATTAATCTGATAGGTTTAAAATAAGTGGTGTCTTATTGCTGTTTTAATTTGGATTAATTTTTTTTAATTGTGGTAAAAAACATAGCAGAAAACTGGCCATTTTAACCATTTTAAACTGTTCAGTTCAGTAGTGTTAAGCCTGTTCACCCTGTTGTGCAACCAATCTCTAGAACTTTGTCATCTTCCCAAACTAAAACACTGTACCCGTTAAACAAAAACTCAGCATCTTCCTCGTGGCCCCAGCCTCTGGCAACCAGTTCTACTTTCTATCTCTGTGCATGTGACTACTCTAGGTACTTCATATACGTGGAATCATACAAAATTTGTGTTTTTGTCACTGGCCTGTGTCACTTAGCATAATGTCTTCAAGATTCATTCATGTTGTAGCATGTGTCAGAATTTCCTTCCTTTTGAAGACTGAATCCTATTCCATTGTATGTACATACCATATTTTGTGTGTCTTTTCATTGGCTGATGGACATTTGGGTTGCTTTCATCTTTTGTCTACTGGGAATAGTGCCGCCGTGAACATGAGTGTGCAAATGTTTCTTTGAGAGCCTGCTTTCAGTCCTGCTTTCATATCTAGAAGTGTATCGTATCATAATTTTTTTTAGTTTTTGAGAAATAGCCATACTGTTTTCCACAGTAGCTGTTCTATTTTACATTCCTACCAGTAGTGTGTGAGGGATCCACTTTTTCCACATCCTCACCAACACACTTGTTTTTTCTATTTTTTTAAGTAGCAGTTATCTTAATGCATGTGAAGTGATATCTCATTGTGGTTTTGATCTGCATTTTCCTAATGAATAGTGATGTTGAGCATCTTTTTGTGTGTTTATTGGCCATTTGTATATCTTCTGTGGAGAAATGTCTATTTAAGTCCTTTGCCCATTTTAAAATTGAGCTGTGTTTTTGTTGTTGAGCTGTAGGGGGTTTTTAAAAAATATATTCTGGATACTGGACCCTTATCAGATTTATGATTGCAAATATTTTTTCCCATTTTGTAGATTGCCTTTTCACTTTATTGTTTGTGTCCTTTGATACAGAGAAGTTTTAAATTTTGATAAAATCCCACCTGTCTATTTTTACTTTTGTTACCTGTGCTTTTGGTATCATATACAAGTCATTGCCAATTAATTTGGATTTTTAAAATCATAAATGAAATTTCTGTGCGTGTCCCTTACCTAATTTTTAAATTCAATTGTTTCTCTCTTTTCTATTGATTTGTGAGAGCTCTCTGAATATTAAGGAAATTAGTCTTGTCGTATGAGGTACACATTTTTATTCCATTTTGTTGTTTATCTTCTGACTTTGTTTTTGGCCTTTCTCTGCCCTTTCCCCAGAAAAGCCGTTATGAGACCTATATCCACCTCCTGGCTGTGAAAATCAAAGTGGGCTCAGATGACCTGGAGCGGATTGAGGCCCGGCTAGCCACCCTGGAAGGGGATGACCCTTCTCTCCGCAAGACACACTCAAGCCCTGCCCTCAGCCAGGGCCATGGCACTGTGACTGGCAGCAAAGCCACAAAGGATACCACTGGGGCTGATACTTAGCTGGCGTGGATGAGCAGGCCCCAGAGGCAGGCAAATGCCCCCAGAGGGGTCAATGAGCACAATTCCAGCCAGGGGCCACTCGGACCAGCTCCAGGCAGTTGACGGGCAGCCAGAGGGGTGTAGAGGGCCCTGTGGGCCAAGGAGATGGAGAAGCTATTCATGGTGTTGATCTTCTTGCATCTTGGGGCTGCTCTGGGCCTCAGGCCCTCTCCCCAGCCCGTGCGTCCCTCTCCGCCACGGAGCCTCATCTTATAGGGCAGTTGTGTGCATGTTCTAGACACCATCTCACTGGAGGAGTGGGAGTGGCAGTTGGCTTCCCGGGCTCCCCTCTTCTCACAAGTTCCTCCCCTCATCTCCCTCGTTCCTGAGGGCAGGTCTTGACTCCAAGTCTCAGCTTGGACTCCCACCCTTTCTCCTCCTCCTTCTGAGTTGACCAGCAGCAGGTCTGCAGACCACCAGCACTACCCCTGCCCCCCATCAGCAGCCTCTGGAACCACGCCCCCTTCTCCTGCCTCACACGGCAATAATCCAGGACCCAGGCCTGTCCCTCAGCACCAGGCTGTCTCCACTCACGTGTGTGTGTCCCTCACCTCCCATCCACTGAGGCCACTACTGCTTTCTTTTATACAGACATAAATGTATATGTATAGGAATTATATATATATATATATATATATATATATATGGAATATATATATATTATATATATATATATATTATATATATGGAATCCCTTAAACGTATGATTTTGGAACTGATATCAGTTAGAGGATGAAATAAGATGAAACAAAAGCCTATTTCAGAATGCCATCTATTAGTGAGGAGGGCTGCTCTCTGGCCCCTGGTGGCCCTGACACTCTGGGAGGGAAAGCGGAGATAGTATGACCTCCTCTCATCCCATTTCCCCCTTTTCCGGCTAACCTGTGACTTAAACTGCTCTTACAGTTGATGATTTGGAATAAATAGTTGCGTGTGTGTGTGTGTGTGTGTGTGCGCGCACATGCGCGCCACCCCATCAGTCCCACAGGCATCCTGGGGTGTGAGTGGGATGGGACCATGGCCCTGTTTATATCTTGGTTTTTATGTTGGTGCTGCCAGGTCTCTGAGCTCCAGAGGTGGCCTCTTGTACAGATCTACTGCTACAGGAATAAAAGACATTCTGCCTTGCAAATAGCAACTTGTCAAAGCCCAAAGATGTTTGGTGGGGGAAGGTTATGGAAGCCATTTATTCTTGCTCTTGGGAAAAGATGGAATGACAAGTTGTTGATTGTTTTTTAGGCTGATATTTCTTTCACTCTTCTAGTGACTCAGAAATGCTAGCTAAGGACATGTCTGGGAAGAATAGAGAAATTTGCCACGTGATGATCACAGACTAGCATCCTTTAATCCTTGAATTCCTCAGACTGACAAGAATGGGTGGTGGGGGTGATGGCACCCTCAATGCAGCTGTGATGAGCAAATCCTTTCTATTTTTAAAATAGATTACTGTAGTTTGGTCAGCAGTGTGACCTCACTGGTAACATATTTAGTTAATAAGATAAGCCAACCTTGCAACTAAGTATCCAACATTTATAAGTCCACTCATATTTGATGCAAGGGATGTGTGAGTCTGTGGAGAGACATAGTGATTTAAATCCAGATTATTTAATTTGAATCAGTTTAGTGTATTTTATAACCAAACCATCTGGCACCTTCATTTTGCTGATGGGAAGTAAATGTTCATTTAAGTGAAACTGAAAGAGCAATGTGGAAATATAAAAAAGCTCTCTGTACTTCACGCTGTCTCAAAGTCCTTTGATTTTGGGGGTCAGCTTCCCACCCTCCACCTTCTGAGAGCAGGTGAGTTAAAGCAGAGGAGTGAGCTCTATCTGCTGTAGACAGGTGTGCCTCCCATCAGTAAAAAAAATTTTAGTTCACTTTCTTAATTGTATAATTATTTATTGTAAATTATATACATGTACTACTGTACTAAAATATGTACATTATAAAACATACACAAAAATAGAAATTTTAAAAAGATGAGATGAAAATAAATCTAAAGCAAAGTTCTAATATTTTTTCTGCATTCTAATGGACCATCATGTTCCCCCCACAACCTCTGCCCCTAATAATATGCCCATTTTCGGACACTGTCCAAATCCAGAGCCCTGGAGGACTATAGGTGAGATGCAATAAGTGGTTTGCGCCCCCTGGTGGTCTTGGGAAGTGGCCGCGGGCTCAGGGACTTCTTGGGGGCTGACCCCCAGGACACAGTCTCTTGAGCCTTCACCCTCTCATTCAGTGAAAGCCAACGGTGCTACACCTTGTGCTGGGGGCTGGGGATACTGTGGTGCGAAAAGGACTGATCAGCTCCTTGTCCACATGGGGCTCACAGTCTAGTAGGGAGGGGGACAGGCAGTCACCATTACCATTTGGGACTCTGGAAGGGCTGGGGAGATAAGCCAAAAATGACCTGGCAGAGAAAAGAAAGAATTGGAGGGTTTGGGAAGACTGACTCAGGAAGCTGCCCAAGTGTCCTAAGTGCCCCTAGGGGACAGGGTGGTAGTGGGAAAGCCACTTAACAGGGCTATAACTCTTCCTGATAGGCCATACTAAAGAAGCAGAAATTTGAGAGAGTAGAGAAGGGGCCTCTCTGGCCACACCTGCTCTCAGGTCCCATTCATACCTGGGTATGAATGGGCGGCTGATATGATGAGGAATGAGTCAAGGAACCTGATTAGGTTCTGGCTTTAGACTCTCAGCAGGTATCTTAGGATCCAGAGCAGATAATGAAGGTACCAAATGGGGCCGTGTGAAGGTCAGTGAGTTCATCAAGAGGTCATTCAGAATAAATTGGAATTATGTGGAGGTAGGTGGTGACTGTGGTCATGGAGGTGGTTTCTGACTGAAATTTTCGAAGCTAACAGCAACTCAGGCCCTCAGAAGGGTCAAATGAGGACTAAGCCAGGTCATGAAAAAGTCAGTGGGTTCACCAAGAGTCATTCAGGATTATTTGGGATCACACAGGGGTCATAAATCACACAGAGGAATTACTGGCTCTCAGAAAATTTTAAAGCCAATAGGAAACTCAGAGCTAGCACATGGCTCTGGATGAGATCATCACATGGGGCTGGAGAAGTCAGGTCTGTATAGCATTTAGTTCACTTCTTTTGTTCCTTTGTAACAGGTACCTTTTCCCCCAGCATCCCCACAATGAATACAATGTCTAGTCCTTTCTTTACTTTTCTCCATCACCTCCCTTTCATCCAGTTTTTGCCACTCTCTGACCATGTGATTCAAGAATGCAAAGCACAGGATATGGTCATCACCATCATCAAATTAGCCACTAAAAGGCATCTATCATGTGCCAGAAGCAATACTGGGTGCTTTATATATTATAGAATCTCCATAGCAGCCCTTTGAGGTAGGTATTAGCATCACCCTTTCACAGCTGAGAAAAGTGCAGCGTAGAGGAGTGACACAGCTAGTGAGGGGCAGAGCTGGAATTTGAACTCAGGCCCTATTGATACCCAAGCCCTTTCAACAAAGCCTCTCTTTCCTTCCCACTTACAGGTCTCTGAACTGACTATCCACATTCCAGTGGCATTTGTGCACACATTTACACATGTCAGCCACCTGAGCTCTTTGAAGAGTCCTTTGTGTCTGGCTGGAACCTGATGGTTCCTGGTGCTATGCACCTTGATAAATTAATCAATAGGGGAAAGGTTTCTTAACCCTGGATCTCCATCTGCCTTCTCCATACCTGAAATCATGTACTCTTCATCAGGGACTGCAAGTTTAGACAGGCCCTGGCTCTGAGTGGGTATAAAAAAAGCACAGTACCCCGTAGGCTTACAAATTGCAGCAGCTGTGGTCGTCCTGGCAGCTGAGGGTACCCATTATGCCACTTTTCATGTCCAGGCTTTGCCTGTGACACGCCTGAGGCCCCAAGGGTCATCTTGCCTCAGCTGCCCCAGTGCCAGCCTCACAACCTTTCCCTCCTCACCCACCTAGGCACGGAAACTCTTGCCTCATTCTGGCCCCTGTAGCTCCAGGGCAGGAACCGGCGTTCTGTAGCTGAGCTCGAAGCAGAGTAATTTGCGTCAGCCCCTTGGCCAGATTCCCCAGCAGCCAGGGTGGGGTTGGTGGTGGGGGGCACTTTGTGAATGTTCTCAGTAGAGAGAGGAATGTTGGAGCCAGGGAGACTGAAGGGAGGGTCTCTTCCTCCCAGGGACTGCTCTGGCCCTGTCCAACCTCCACACCAACTTCCATCCATCTCCATCACAGGGCCTCATCCTCTGTCTTCCCTTCTCACCTGGGGGCTAGGCACACACAGTCAAGCATGAGTTATTTCTGATTTTATTTATAATATAAAAATGTTCAAGTGTCAACAGTCAGGTGTTTGGACATTTCAGGGGGCAGGGTTCCCATTTGTTTTTTAGAATTTTTTTTTAAACAATTACCTTTTTGACAAATTAGCAGTGGACCCAGTTTTGGGGGGCACGGAGGACAGGGCTGGAGAGGGAGTGGAAGTCGTAAGTGGGCTGGGAGCTGGGAGTGGAGCTGTGAGAACGACATGGTGTTACTTTATTGCTAAAAGGGAAATCAAATACACCGTCGAGTGGCTCTTCTCGGTCCCAGCGTGACCATGCATCCAATCTAAAGAATCTGAAATGCAAAGGACATGCAGGCATAAAATAGAAAAGACGACCTGTAAACGAAGGTGCTGCAGAGGACGGAGGGGCGTCCTGGAGGCCATGAAGGAGGAGGAGCCGCGAACATTGGGGCCCTGGCAGAGCTACCCCCTCCCCGGGGCTGGGGCTGTTGGGAAGACCTCTTTCTCAGTGCCCCCTCCCTTAGCAGCAGTGAGGAGCGGGGAGGCCCCCTCCCCATTCTGATTGCTGTCGCTGGGCCTTAGTCTCCCCCTGGAGGTTACCTGACCCCAACTCTAGCTCCAAGCCTAGGATCCTCACTCTCTCCTCAGGGGACCCAGGACTTGCAGATCTTGCACGGGGGTAAAGCTACTCCGGACCTCACTTCCTTCCTAGGCGCCCCCGCTAGCCCTGCCCTAGCCCCCTGCCCCGCCTCGCCCCCACCTGACCCCAAACCGCACAGCCTCTTCTCTCCCGCTTTCTCTCACCACCTCCTGCCCCGGCCCCCAGCTCAGGATCCTACATTCCCCCTACCCCGCAACCCAGACTTCTCTCCAGGAGCTCCAGATTAGCGTACAGCAAAAGGCACCACAATATAGGTTTCTATTAAAGAGTCAAAAAATTGGCCCATCTCTCTTTTTTTTGTTGTTTCTTTTTTTTTTCCGAAGCTGTAAATCAGGATGTTACATATAAATAGTTTCCCTATAAAAACGTCTTTGCCGTTAGCTAGTATTATAAGACAATTTTTGCTAAAATGAAAATAAAACATTTTGTTATACCTTTTTCCTTTTATAGAAAATAAAAATATTTTTATTTCTTTTTTTCCTCTTTTCTCTCTCCAGTCGGCGGTCTCTGTTCTCCTTAAAGACAGTGGGGCAGGCGAGGCGGAGGGGGCGGCGGGCGGCGGGGGCCCTAAAGGGGCGCCGAGTCCTGCTTGGCCCGCGGGGGCGGCCCGCGGCTGTGTCTGCTGCTGGCCCGCGTGCTGTGGCTGTCCAGGGAGTAGTAAGTCCTGCTGTCGGCCGCCGGGCACAGCGGCGGCGAGTCCGAGCGCAGCGCGTCGTGCGCCGAGCGCAGGCCGAGGAAAGGCGTGCTCTCGGCCGCCAGAGCCCCGTCCGCGTCGTCTGCGTCGTCGTCCGAGGCGGAGGCCGAGCCGCCTCCCGAGCCGCTGCTCAGCGACAGCGAGTCCCGCGCCGCGCGTGCGCGCTGCGCCGCCAGCCCGTTGAGGCGCGAGCGGCGCCAGCGCCGGGGCCCCGCGGACGTCCTGCGAGACGCGCCGCGGGCGCGTGGCCGCGGCGGCGGCGGGGGCGCGCACTCCTGCGTGGTCTCGTACTCGTCGTCCTCGGGGATGCGAAAGGGGCTGGCGGGCAGGCTGCCCAGGCTGCCGCCGAGTGCGCAGGCCCCGCGCCGCGGCCCCGGCCCCGCCGCGGGGTAGTAGTAGCTGTCGTAGCTGCGCTGCATGTCCGCGCCTGGCCCCGGGCCCGGACCTGGGGGCGCCGGGTGCCGCAGGAGCGGCTGCTGCTCCGCCAGGCGGTAGCTGAAGGGCGCGGCGGGCGGCAGCGACACGGCGTGCGCCGAGTTGGGGGACGTAATCTCGAAAGTCGGCACCTGAGTGGCCAGCGAGTAATGGAAGTCCACGGGAGAGAGGCGCGCGGGCGTGGTCAGGGCCGACACGTACCTGCGGGGAGAGGCAGAGGAGTGGGCCGGTGGCCAGGGGATGGGGCAGACCCCAACGCAAAGCAGTGGTCTTGCCCGGGATCCCTCCTGCAAGAACCATGGTGGTAATCCTCAGTGACCGTAAGCTATTTCCTTAATCTCTCTGAGCCTCAGTTTCCTTTTCTGTTAAGCGGGAATAACCACAGTGCTCATTCCATAGCGTTGTTGGGATGATTCCATAAATGTATCAGTGGTCCTTGGCTGTGGGGATGCGCATGGAAACCGGTATTCCTGAATGGTTACTTTGGCTCAGGCTCAGTCTCAGTCTCAGGCTGGGGCATTTTACACGTACGATCACATTCTGTAGAGGCTTATGTCAGTTCCATACTACACGTGAGGAAACTGAGACTCACAGTATTTAAGTGACTTACTCAAGGTTCGTACAGCCAGGAAGTAAGTGGTAGAGCTGGGATTTGAACCCAGGCCAAGCAGGAACCAGGACTCATACTGCCCAATTCCTCATTTTAGTTCCTGCATTCAGCCATCTCTATGACTAGGACTCATCTCCCCTCGGGGACAATTCATCCTATGGCTGATGGCTACAGTGGGGGAAATATTTCTGTTAAATTGAAGTTAAAGCTGCCTCAGGGAAGTGACTGCTTACACGTACTCAGGTAGGGTCCTCAGCCTAGAGCTCACAGTTAACAAAGCTCCACTGTAGTATCTCTGCTTGAGGCTAAAGACCACCAATTCCTTCAAAAGTTTGCCCTTGCTAATGTCTCCCTCTCTGCCAGGCACCTGTCCTTTTTCTTTCTGCACATTTCCCTTGCTGAGTCAACCAGCGTCTTGCTGGTTGTCCATCTCAGGATAGGGACCATCCACCTCTATGTCTCTTTCAAACTGTAGAGCCAGAGTTCGCCAAAGCCACTGCTCTCCAGAGTCCTTGCTCCTGAGTCCCCATTACTGTCTTTCTGAATCACCTGACTCCCCTCTCTTCCCTCTCCCACATGCACATGCATCAAGTCCTACCCACTCCCTTTCTCCTGGAACACACCCTCCACCCTGCTCTACTCCATCTGGGGACTAGTTATTCACTCTGGTCATTCCCACACCCAGGGTTTTAACTCCTTCAGCCTATGCAGTTACCAGAACAGTCTTTTAAAGTCACATCTCTGCTTTAGGAGGCCCTTCCTGCTTACCCACCCAGGGCTGTGGGCACCTGTCTGCCCCGGCCTGCCTGTTCAGTCCCAGCTCCACTCCCCACAGCCCACCCTGCTCTAGGCACCTCATTCACCAGCCATACTCTTAGTGCCTCTGTTGGAACAGCTTAAGATGTTCCCCTTGCCTGGAAGTCTTTCCCCTTCTCTCTACCTCCCATCCATTAAGGAGTCCTGTTGCTGTTGTTACTATTGCTAACAGTAGCTACACCTTGGGAGCACCAGCTCCATGTCAAGTATGAGGCAAAGAGCTTTGTGTACATGATCTTAGGTCGCCTCCACAAGAACCATGCATGATAGGTGTAGTGTTCCCTGTTCTACAGCTGAGGAAACAAAGGTACAGAGGTGATCACTCTGCCCCAAATCACACAGGTGGTTGGGCTTGGAAAGGCTGGTCTTGGAAAAACCTAAATGCTTCCCAGAGCCTCTAGTCAGACTGGGTTTCTCTGCCCTGGTGGGGTGTCCTGTGCTTAGCACTTTCCATAGGCAGCTGTGAGTTTCAGTGGTTATGTCCAGGGCTGGGAGCTCCTTGGGAGCTAGAACCAGGTGGACCACCCCTGGATCCCAGGCAGGCAGTCCAGCACAGGGCCTTGCATGGAGTAGGCTGTGCTGAACCTGCTCTACCCCAGCCTGGAGTTCCTGGTACCATGCACCTTTTTCTGCTCTCCTTCCACAGGCCCCACTTGCCAAGGGCCATTCAAGGGCTGAGCAAGCTGGGGGCCACCCCCTGTGACTCCTGGCTTGGAGTCAGGGAAGGGGAGTTTCCTGGTTCTCACTGCATTCAGTGCTCGGGAACCCAATGGCATCTTGATCTGTGGGAACCTTGTTGCTGACACTGCCAGGGCCTTTGGGCATTCTTGGCTCATTCCTATCCTGCGTGGTTGGTCTCCTTGTAGCCAACCTCCCTTCCCACACTTCAGTCTGCTCAATCTTGGTATCTCTTCCTGCTGAGATATGGGGCCTCTAAGTAACACCAGGGTAGGGCAACCTCATGTTCTGGTTTGTCCAAGAGAGCCCCTGTTTGTTCCTGATGTTCCAGTGCTATGATTAATACCACCCCTTTCTACTCTGAAAAGTGTCCTAGAAGGACAATTAAATTAAATGGTCGCAATACCCCAGGGTCCACTGGCTTGGTTGTAGTCCTTGCCTGTCATTAACATGCTGATGACTGTGAGCAGATCATTTAACCTTTCAGAGACCTTGTTTGCCGATCTGGAAATAGAGCTGAGGCTCTTCGGAGTGTCCCTGAAGGTGACCTGAGGGTCAGCCCTGGGTCAGTGGTGCCAGCTCTCTGGCCAAGGTGGGGCACAGGTCACAGGGTGGGAACTGACCTCTCGCTGTGAGGGGAGTCCCGCAGGGAGTCTATGGAATCGTGGTAAGGTGGCGCAGCAGCCCTGCTCTGCTCCTCCAGGCTGTAGGCTGCTGCCCGCCGCGCCCGGGCCTCCACACACGCTGGGCTGTTGCACTTGCTGGTGCCCACTGATGACAGCATGATGCCCGATTGGGAGTCAGAGGTCAGGCTCTCAGAACGTTCCAGGCTCCACGTGTGGCTCTCATGCCTGGAGAAGCCAGGTGGGGATGAGGTGAGGGGTCAGGAATGGGCAGGGCAGCCCAGCAGGTATGGTCCCAGGCCTGCCCCTTCCCTGGTTCTGCATTCCATCTCAGGCTCCCTCAGCTCACTGCCCTTCACTCTGGGCTGACATGTAATCTTGTAAATGCCAAACCCTGATATTGGGAGGAAGAGAGATGGGGTCCTGTGGATGGGTGAGCTGCGACGTGCAGCAGCTTCTTCCTTTCCTCCCTGCAACCCCTCCCCTACCCTCTGGGACCCTTCCACTCCCATGGCCCTTAGCCACCTGTCTCAGGAGCCCAGTCCCAGTGACCAGTATATGGGGACTCTGCCTATTCCATGCTGTTACCCAGGGAAGACAGGGGCCAAACATGTCCTTTCTTGAGCTCTGTGAGCCTTTGTGCTTATGTAGACAGGCCTCCCTACCTCTGGAGAGGAGGCTAAGGTGGACTAGGTTCGTGTGGGCAAACCCAGGGAGGACATTAAATGGCTGTGGATATTTGAGTGAGTAGGTACTTGATGGCAGATGAAATGGTGTTGATGAAGTCCAAACAAAACTAAACTAAATGTTAGGTGGCAGCACAGTGATGGCTGTTGTTCCTCTGGGGCCAGTTTAGACTAGAAAAAGGAATCTGGTCTCCCGAGGATCTGGATGAATGTTTGGTAGTGGATTCTGGTTTGAAGCCCCCCTTCATCCTCCTGCTCAGAGGGACCCTCAGTACAGAGCCCAGCCTGGCTGGGAGTTTTCTGCGGGTCCCCAGGCAGGTGTGTGGTGCACATGTGCATACAGGAGTCTGCAAGTCTGTGTGGGTCTTGGTGGTGCCCACCTGTGGCTGGAGGTGGGCGTGGCTGTGGAGCAGTGGTGGGAAGGAGAACAGGAGTGACTCCCAGAGAAGGTGGTCTCCGTTTCCCTCCGGATGACATGGTCTGTGGCTGGCACATTCTTGGAGATATACTGGAACAGACAGAGAGTTGGGGGCGTAGTTAGTGACGATCAAGTTGGCCCTCCTTTCTAGTGGGGATGGGGAAGTGAGGCACTAAGCTCCAGGTAGGGGGATGGTCTATTGGATAAGTGACTCTGTGCTGGGGCAGCAATGGCCCCTGGAAATCAATCCCCCTGACTTTCCTTAAGGATGTAGTCCAGGCGAGGCTAAGTCATCCTGGTGAGGCAAGGCTAGGCTAGCAGGCAAGGCTGAGCATGGGATGGACTTATTGCCTTCCTGGCCCATTCTTGCAGGGAGCGTGAGAAGGCAGGCTGTACAACGAGAGCTCAGAGTAGGGCCAGGGACCACCACTCACGTCTGCCATCTGGATCTCCTCAGGGTCCAGCCGGGGGTGACTGGGCCCGTTGGCCAAGCTCCGGTTCTGGTGGGCCGGGCACATGTTCTGCCGAAGGTGGTTGTGCATCTGCTTCCGCTGTTTTCTGCACAGGGGAGGGTGCGTTAGCCTGGCACCATCCCCCCTGCCCTCCTCCGCCCCTACTCACACACACACACAAAGTATGAACTTCCCTAGCTGTCACTCCAGGGGAACCACTCTACCTCTGCCCTGGACTGTCATGGCAGGCAGTCTCCTGTGCTCAGGCTGCCCTCAGCCAGGACCTCTCCAACCTACCCCCTACCTCATCACTATCAACCTGAATTCAGCAGGAGTGGTAATGAGCTTTGGCTCTGCTGAGATTAGAACCCCACTACTTTCTAGCTGTGTAATCCTGAGCAAGTTACTGAAACCCTCCATGTTTCATTTTCCTCATCTGTAAAATGGACTGACCATCTACTCATTCCAAAGACCACTGAGGATTAATAGTAGATAAAATATTCAAGCACAGTGCTGGCCCATTCACTCACTCATTCATTTATATGGTATTTATGGGGTTGTTATTATGTGCCAGATGCTCTTTTGGAGCCCAGGAGACTGATACAGTTCCTGCCCTCATGGAGCCTGCAGGCCAGTAGAGAAGACAGATGATAAACACATAAACAAATAAATTAGATACTTTCAGCAAAGTGCTATGAAGAAAATAAAACAGGGTGCTGTGGTCAGGCAGTCAAGGCCTGTGGGGCTACTTTACTTTGGCACATATTAAGTGTTTAGTACATTTGTTTTGTAATCAGCAAGTCTAATCATGTCACTCCCCTGTTAAAAATCCTTCATTGGGTCTCAGTGTCTCATTTCTCTCCCCACCCCAGCTTGTTGCATCCGTGGAGGACTTGTTTCTGATCCTCCACTGGGCCTGCCCTCTCTGGATTCTGGGCCTTTGTACAGACTATTACATCCAACTACACCACCTTCTTTGCCTCTTCACCTGCTAACTCCTGCTCATCTCTCAGGCCCAGTCTAAATGCACCTTTCTCAGGGAAACCCTTCCTGCCCTCCAGCTGAGGTTAGGCACCCCTGAAATATATCCCATGATACTGGACATCTGTCCAGCAGGCATTGAATGAAAGTTTGTTGAAGAAATGGGTATATGTAGTGGAGGCTGAAACATGGGGCTTGCCTTTCCCTCCAGTTCTTGGCCTCAGTGTTCCTACATGTACCTAGTATCCTCCTCTGGGTTCCCTAAGCCCCAAATCTCAAAGCTGGAAGGGCCTTCGATCTCACAGACAGGGGCAGCAGCAGTCAAGACCTAGTAGCTCAGTCCCCCTAATGGTGGCTATGCCCAGACTCTTGCTTTCTAGGTAAGAATGGATATGGCAAACCTCTTTCCGTATTACATCACTCTATAACCTGTGATGGCTCTCTGTCGTCTGCAGGATAAAGCCAGGCTCCCTAGGTTGTCGGTCAAGGCCCTATGGTGCTATTGAGGTTCCAGCTGTTCTTTTAGACTTGTGTGCCTTTTTTCTTACCCCAATCCTTGGCACCAACTAGCCTGGGCTGCGCAAGCTTCATGAACACACCTGACCCTCCCCTGCATTTGTCTTTTAGCTTGCATTGTTCTACATGCAGAAGGGCCCAGCCCTCTTTCTGCCCCTTGCTCCTAGGTTCTGACCCCACCTTTCCTCTGCTCAGGGGTGGCCCATCTCCACCTTCTCTGTGTTCTTGCCTGGATGGCTCCTAAGTGAGGAGGTCTCTTTTTCCCCTGGGAAGGTGCCTGACTCTCTGTGCTTCTCCACCCCCAACACTGCCCAATTCCTGCCTACTGGACAGGACAGATGCTGCCTCATAGGATCCCCTGAGGTCCATGCTAGGATCACACCCATTTCACAGATGAGGACTCAGAGAGGCTCATCAGTTTCCTCAGGGTCATGGAAAATGGCAGAGCTGGATTTGAACCCAAATCTGCCTTCTCCCAACGCCTGTGCTCATGATCATTCTTGTTCAGTCCTCTGGGTCCTGTCTCCCCCACCCTCTGCTCCTGCTTCTTGGCCCAGCCCTTTGGCCTCCCACCAGCTGCAGAAGCTCCTGAGGGGCAGTGGGGCACAGGAGCTCGAGAGGTGAGGCCTGGCCTGGTGGGGTGGGGAGGAGAGCCCATCCTCACAAAAGCAGTCCCTGGTTGGCCTGCCCCCGGGCTGAGTGCCTGACACTCACTTGGTCTTGCAGTAGGCCACCACGCAGACGATGCCCACGACCAGCAGGGCCACGCAGATGCCAGTGATAGTCAGGACCCTCTTCTGGTACAGCTCCTCAGCTTCTGCAGAGGCAGAAGGTGTGAGGCGGTAGGGCGAGAGGCAGACCCATGGGGACAGTGGTGCAGAGACCCTCCCAAAACCTTGGGCTCCCTCCAGCTCAGGTGCTGACCAGCTCCTTTCCATCTCTTCCCTCCTCAGCCAGTACCCCTCACTTCTGTTCTCCCAGCTCCACCCACCCATGGATCTGGTCACAAGTGGCTACCCCTGAGTTCACCTTCCCAAATCCTGCTCTCTGCCTGGAGCACGTGAGTGGAAAATGTTGGGGATGGAGGAAGGGGAATGGACGTGAAGTTCCCAAGGCCATAGGGGAGGGCAACCCACTATGGCCTGTGGCTGCAAAGAGCCTTGATGGGCTAGGGGAGGCTGGCCTTCATGGCAGTGAACATGCAGACCCTGGGCAAAGGCCTGGCTGGCCACTTTGGCTTCTGTAAGAAGATAGAGAGTGGCTTGTTCTGGGCTGGTGACAGGACTTCAGGCCCAGAGGCTGGACTTTGGAGGGATGCCAGAACCAGGAGCAAGGACAGAGCAGACCAGGCCCACAGAGGCGGGCATAGTGAGAAAAGCCTTGGTTTATCCCTGCAACCTGGTCAGGGTTGCGGCCCTGGCCCATTCCAGCCCTCCCTGTCTTTGCTTGTGAGGCCCCTGAAGGGCAGCACAGCCCTCTGGCATCTAGGACAGTCCTTGTGCTCAAGGAGCAGCTCCCAACCTTCTGAAGGAGCTGAGCTAGGCTGGGCCTCAAAGCCTTCAAAAAGACCCGACTGTCCCCTCTATCTCCCACTTTCTGGTGGGGCAACTCCTACCCTTCTAGAACAGAGAAAGCCAGGAGGAAGTAAAGGAAAAAGGTGACAGCACCAGCCGTGGTCAAGGCCTACAGCTGAGACACCCCACCCCTGCTCACACCTGTACCTGCTGGCCGGCCCCTCCGTATCGCTCCCCTCCCACCAGCTCAGGGATAAGTTGGCTCAGGGCCCAATGTCTTGGTGGAGCCCTGGGCAGTGTCCCTAAGCCCCTAGGCTTGCAGCGCCTCTTGTGGCAAAGGTGCATGGCAGCAAACACGGAGTACAAACCCCCTAGACACACATACCTAGAAGATGATACCTTTCTGACACAAAAGATGCTTCACAAAGATACACTCATACACACATCCAAGAGGCGCGCACACACACAGGCAGTCATGCCCATCGACACCCAGTCCTGCAGAGTCTTTAACAAACAGCCTTCTACCCCAGATCCACCCCTCCAGGCTCTGTGGTCCTGGTCCTGCCTCCGGTTCTCATCCCCGTCCACCCCTCAGTCCTCCAGTCAGGCCTCCGTCTCCGTCCCTCCTGAGACCACTCTGGTCATAGTCACCAACAACCAACCCCCCTGCTGCCAAGTCTATAGTTGTTGGCTTCCGTCTCAGCAGCCTCCCCCTGCTGGGCCTGCTCCCCCGATGGTCTTCTCTCCTGGGGCTCCTCCTCCTGCACTGGCTGATCTCTCTGTTTTAGTTGCTGCTTCCTCCTCTTCTCTGTGGGCTGCAAGGTAGAAGGGCCAGAGCTCTCAAGCTTCTTTCTCTCTTCACCTGCCCTCTCTTCCTCTGTTGTCTCACCCAGACTCAGACTTGAAATCCCACCTGTATGCAGCTGAATCTCACATTTCTCTTTCCTGTCCTGACTTCCCCTTGAGCTCCGGAATCCTATATCCAGTCCTATAGCGAAGCAGAAGCACTGATCCCCTCCTCTTTCCCAGCCTGCTCCCTGCTTGTCTGTCTCTTCGGTGCCAGCACTACCTTTCTTGTTGCATAGGCTCCAAACCTTGGAATTGTTCCTGATCTCCCCACCAACTCTGATACCTGATCCCTCAGCAAATCATCTCAGCTCTACCTCCCAAGTAGATGCTGGGTCTGACCACTTCTTACCGTTTCACCTGCTTCCAGCTACTCCAAGACGATGCCGTCTCTGCCCTGGACAGCTGCTCACCTTCTGACTGGTTTCTGTGCTCCCACTCCTCCACACCCTGTCCCCTCACCCAGTCTATTCTCTGCCCCAAAGCCACATTGATTTTCAACCAGAAAGCAGATCATTTTACTCCTCTGCTTAAAAACTCACAACAGTGTCCCCCTGCAATCTGAATACAACCCAAAGCCTTACCATGGCCTACGAGGCCCAAGGTCGCCTGGATACTTCCTTTACATCTCATCTGTGGTCCTCTTCCCCACGTCTGCTATGCTCCCCAGTCGCTGGCAGTCTTTCCATCCATCAAACAAGGCAAGCCCATCCAACCACACCAGCCCTAACTTGCTGTGCCTCCTGCCTCAAACACTCTCCCCCCATTGTTTGCAGGACTGGCTGCTTTTCCTTGGGTTTTAGCCCAAATGTCACTTCACTGGACAAGCCATTTAGCTAGAGTGGCTCCCCACCCGGGCTAGGCATGATCCCGTTACCTTTTCTTTTCTGTAGAGCACTACCACCACCTGATCTCTCTCCTGCTTGTGTGTTGTGTCTGGGAGCACTGGGAGGGCAGGGACTCTGTGTGCCAGATTGGCAGTCTGGCCACCTCTGGGGCTCAGTAGAAGTTTGTTGAGGTGGTGGGTGAGTGAATATACAGACCACCTTTACAGACACAGACATACTTACACGCAGTCACACTCACCTCTGCACCCACTGCTCACACTCAGCCCTTAGCAACAAAGATGTCCCACTGCACCCCTCTGTGTACTCATACCCTGCACTGAGACACCTAACAAGGTCCCTGACATTTCACCTCACAGAACAACATAGACATGCACACCTACAGATTCACCCCTGCACCTCTTGCCACCATCACAGACGCCATACAGACTCAGTACCTCTCCTCTCCACCTCGTCAGAACAGACAGACAGGAAGACTCTTATACACAGACTTTCAGCTCCGTCTTCTACTGAGAACAGCTGATAGTAGCTAGGTGGTGGGAAATCTCGGCCTCCCCAAACGTGTCACGAGCATAGCCTTTTCTTAACCGCAGGCTCTGCACCCGTCTGAGCCTCAACCCCACCGAGCTCCTGCATCTCTCCTGCTATAATATGTCTGGACCAGGGTGGAGCCTCCCAGCACAAAGCGAGAGAGCTGGAACAACTGACCACTCAAAGTTCCTTCCTGCCCAAAGCATCTTCCAAGGCCCAGAGGGCAGTTTCAGCAGGGAGGTAAGGTTCTGAGTTGGGAGGCAGGAGGGCAGGCATCAGAGGCCAGCCCCCTGGACCCTTGCTGGTGTTGCCCACAGACAAACACACGTACCATTGTGGGGACAGATCATGAAGGGATCGACAGCCTCAAGCAGATGGCAAAGCCTGGCAGACAGACACAGGGCAGGGGGCAGAGACAAATGGGTGTGATCAGCCGCCAGCCTGGTGCAGAATGAAAAGCAATGGAAATGGAAATGGGAAAAGGAAGGAGGATTAAAGTCAAATCGAAAGGGATGCCTCTCTGCACAACTCTCCAAACCAGGATTCCATGGCTCTCAGATACCCGCTCTCTGAGGGGCCTGGCTCTTGTCTGGGCAACCGACTGGGCTGCGCACAGCTCAGGGGGCCGCTGCCCTCTGAGGCTTCTGGGTGATTGGCCCCAGGCAGGGGGGCACTACTGTACACTGGGGGCACAGTCTGAACCCCAGGGTACTCTGCTGTTTATGAGCTTTTCTCGTCTCTCCCAAATCAGTTTAGTTTATGATAGGACATTCTGATGGGGACAGGGGAGGTTTTTGGAATCGTCCCTTTTCCATTTTGGGGGAAAGGAAACCAAACATCCAGCACACTTGGTGTCAGAGGCTGCGGAGAGGGGCTGTGTGGATGGTGCTGATGGACACACAGAGGCTCCGTACCCTTTAGTTCAAATCCAAGGTGCTCTGGCAGTGCAGAGGAGAGGAGGCCGGAGAGGGGAAGGGATGGAGGGAGAGAGACAGATAGAGATGGGGGAGGGGGCGGGAGAGAGAGAGAGAAACGTTGGTCAGGACTCTTCAGACACCAGCAGCCAGCCTGTGAGGTGAAAGCAGGTTAGTGGTGTTCCCTCCCGGCCACCTGAGCCCCTTTCCTGGCACCCAGTCCCCAGGAGCCCCTGAGAGGGGTGGAGAGAGGAAATGTTAGGGTCAGCAGGCAGGGCACGTTCTTTAGAGATGAGCTGTGGGGTTAGTACCTGGTGGGGAGGCAGAGGCGCAAGAGTCAGTTGGCACATGTCCCCAGGGAGGGAAAGTGAGTGGGGGCAGGGGTCGGAGGAGGCCCCAGTCTCCACTCCCAGCTCCAGGCCGTTGGCACTCTCCAGCCCCTCCTGGAGACAGCTTGCTCAGCCTGCGCTCATTCATGGGGCCCTTTTCTGTTTAGAATGAGGGCGTGGGGTACTCAGACTAGTCCCTTGTCCCTGTCCTGCCCCCATGGGCCTCACTGGCCTGCCCCTCTCCTAGGAGCCTTGCATGGAGACTCTGAGTTTGTAGGGAGCAGAAGTGGGGCGAGGAGGAGGCTCCAGGGGGCAGGTCACGTCTCCACTTGACACCCTCAACACCCTGGGAGCCTGCAGGGGCTAGGCCTCGGGGTCTGAGCCTGATTTCACCACTTTGGAAAGCGAACTGTGACTTGGAGGAGATGAGTGGGTTCACTTGTAGAACACCTGTGCCCCTTAAATTGCAGCCAGTGGCACTCTTTGAAGTGGGATCATGTTATAAATGTGTGATTTCAGGGTCCTGCAAGGTAGACACCCAGGCCATGGGAGGGTTAGATAAAAGGCCCAGTCTAGGCATCAGCTGTCACTGAGCCGCTGTGTGACTGTACTTCCCTGCCTGTCTGGCTCTCAGTCTCTGCATCTGTTAAATGGGGATCAGGCCTAGCCATGGGGTTTCTAGAAGGTATGCAACCTGGCTGTGCTTCAGAATCACCCAGACCAATGGAACCAGGCTCCGGGGTGGGAGCCCAGACATCTCAGAGGTTTTTTTGGAAAGCTCACCTACCATTCTCAGGTAGCAGCCAACACCTGTCTGCTGGATTTGTGTCTCAGTTTTGTCCCTAATTTGCTGTGTGCATGTAGGCAAGTCACAGTCACTGTTTCCTCATCTGTCAAAAGTGCTTGTGCACAGTGAGGAAGACAGCGGGGCAGTGTGCACGGCCCACTACACGGCCTCCCTGCACGCATGGCAGCTGTTAGACCCAGGGAGGAGGTGGGACTGTGCTCTGATGTTCTCATGTCCTGCAGAGGAAGTGGAGCACGGGCACATCAGCAGCAAGTCCTGGGCATCATCCAGCCCCAGATCTCTCCTCTGCTTCCTGATAGGGATTCTAGAGGGTTCTGCAGTTGGAAGAGGGCAAGAGAGTAGGATGGCTCTGAGCCAAGGACTGAAGATGGCTCTGAATGACAGAGCCTTGAGGAATACCCCAGGGCTCTGACCCCCACTTCCATGTAAGGACTACACAACTCAAAGCATGAACCCCAGCTCTTCCAAACATGAGCCCTTCTGTGTACTCCTGTTAGATGCGAGGCTGGGGGTGATCTCGAATGTGGTTTCTGTACAGTCTTATGCTTACTGCTTGGAGGTAGGAGTCACCTTAAGCACAGTGAGTCCACTCCTCTCCCAGGCCTCCCAGGGTGGGCCAGCTGTGCCAAGCCGGCAGTACGAGCTTGACAAACTCAAAGGGTCCTCGGGGGCAACTCTCACCGAGTAGTTAATCCTGTGGCCCTGGGGACCCTCCAGGCAGCTTGAGAGAGCTCACAGTGTCTGGATATCCAGCCAGTCTCCCCAGAGGGAACAGCCCAGCTTGACCACAGCACTCCAGACACCAAGAGACGGTGGTTCCTAGAACCGGTTTGCGCCTCTCTTTTGGTGGTGGTTGTACTAGATAAGGCAGCTGGGGCCCAGTGGTGCTGGGATACTTTCCCAAGGTCACACAGCAAATTAGGAAGCAGAAGGGAGACCGGAGGCCAGGTCTCTGGCCTCCTGGGGCTAAACCATGGCTATTCCTGCCCATGGAGTCCCTGGGCAAGCCTGGCTGGCTAGTCCTCAGGACAGTGGCCATCTGGAGAAGTGAGCAGGGCTCCCAAAGCCATCTAAAGAGTTTTCTCCTGCATCTCTCCCCCGGGAACCAAGTGTTAGCAGCAGCAGCTTTTGGGGCTCCTGACTGACCTTCCCTTTGAGTCTTCATTCTGGACATGTCCTATGACACAGGGTCACAGGTACCCAGACAAGGAGCTCATGATGTGGACCTCAAGCATGTGCTCATGTGCTTGTGCCAGCAGGTGTCAGCACGTGGTGTGTGTGTGTGTGTGTGTGTGTGTGTGTGTATGTGTGCAGGTGTGTGTGCTCTTGTACCTCGTGGGTGAACAAGTTTTGACTCTGGGGAAGTGGAGGAGCTGTTAGGGGAAGAAGAAGCTTTAAAGTGCTACCGTGGCCACAGGCTCTGTTTCCATGGCCTCTGCAGAAGGTAACCAGGCCTCGGGGCTGTCTGGGCAGAGGGGGAAGTCTGACACTTTGCTCAGATGTGCTGGGAGTCAGGCTCCAGGGCACTGATGCTGGCCTTCTAGCTCCCACCCCTCACCACCAGCAGTAGCTGGGAAAGGAGCTGAACTGTGCTCAAACAACGCTGGTAGGCTCTCGATTAAGCCCTTCGTAGGCATCACTGCGCTTCATCCTCACAGCAACCCTAAAGGCATAAATGCCATTATTCCCATTTTGCAGATGAGAAAACAAAAAAAGAGGTTAAATGAGGCCCCAGAAGAGTAAGCTCAGCTGCTGGCATTTTTATTCAGGTCTACCTGAATCGAAAGCCTGAACTCTGAAGCTGGCATTTTCACTCCATTTTCAATAATTATCTGATAGAGCAGTTCATGAAGCTCTGGGAAAAAATGCTTGAAGAGTATAAATCATTTACCAGAAGGTCCGAGCAATGATCCCTATAACACTAGGCAAAAAAGCTGCATTTCCAGGCTCTTTTCTGGGCTCCTGGGGCCCTGCTGACCCTCCCAGAAGATCCGAGCTGAAAGCTGAAGCAGCCCAGCTGGCAGAGAAGCTTGGACAGTGGCCGAGTTTTGGAGGCTCTGCTGTTCTGATTCAGGATGGGTTGGGACTCCCTGTCCAGAACAGTCCCATAAGCCAGGAAGGCTCTGGGCCTAAGGGTGAAAAGGACTAGGACCTCCGTTGCCTCTCTCCCTGGTCCTCGGCCCGCCTGGCTGCTCTGGCCTCCTGACCTCCAGTCCTCCAGTGGGACTGGATCTGAGTGCAATTCTTCCTTGAGCCTGGGGTCTGGAGAATTCTGTTGGGCCACGTGCCCACAGCTCCGCTCTTATCCCGACAGCCTTCCTCCCTGGCCTCCAACTGGAGGGGGCTGGGAGGAGCACTCTCTCCAACACCCATTAAGATAGTTGACCATCTGGGCTGACCAGCCCCTACCTCCCTGGGGTCTCTACTTCCTGAGTCTTGGTTTCCCACCTCCTGTCGGGGAAGAAGGGATGGCAATGTCTAGGCTTTTGTGCTGTGCTCTGAGGAGGACTGAAAGGCTCCTTTCTCTACCGTGCCCCTAACCCCTTTTCTCCAAGGGCAACCTAAATGGGCTCCTGCCCTCAGCCTCTTCTGGAGCCCCACTTCTCCATGCCCAGGCACCAGCAATCTGGTTCTAATTCCTCATGGGACCCAGCTGTCCTCCTTGGAGAGGAGGAGGTGGGTGGTGGGTCGAGCAGGGACCTAGTGTGCTCTGAAGGCTGGGTGACAGGGTCCCACCTTGCAGGCCAGCAAACTGCTGGGCCCCAAATGGAGTCCAGGCCAGGCTGAGGCTTTCTGCTGTTCCACCTCCAGCAGGCACCTGAAGGAACTGCTCCCATCCCCCAAAAAACACAGTTATGGCCTCATCCTTCGGCCACAGTGCTCATATTTTTCTCATCAAAGTTTGCAAACCAGAAAGCTCCAACCTCAGAAGTGGAAGAAAGGAAGGGAATAAAGTCCTGGATGGGGACTCAGACCAGAGAGGGTCTGGAGAGAGTCACCAGTTACCCCTTGATTCCAGCAAACTCCTCCCTGGCCCCCCAACATTTAGCTGCATAGATGTCTCTGATCTCTGGTCTCCAATGAAAACCAATGCCCCTGGGCCTGCTTTTCCTCAACTCCCCTTCCCCACTCGCCCCCATCACTGAAAATCAAACCAAAACAAGCTCTGGCCAGACCTAAAGGCCAGCTTCCTGAGAACTTGTTTCCCTCTCTCAAACACACCAGCACACATGTGCACACGCTCTCTGCCCAGCCCCACGCGCAGCCTGACATCCTCAAACAGGGCTTCAGCAGCAGGTGAGGGCTCTGCAAATGTGTTTTCCCATTCTGGCCCGGCTGCCTGACCCCAGTGGTGAAGGGGCCTGAGTATGGCTCTGGTCGGCTGCAGAGAGAATTCCTTGTTACTGCGACCAGGCAGCACAGCGACATATGAGGTGGGGGTGGCAGAAGGCATATCAGTATCAGTCTACTCTGCATGAAACTGAGCAGGACCCTGCAGGGCCTTTGCTGGGAAAGACCCTCTGGTGACCCCAGCAGGTCTAGTTTGTAGAAAAGCTTTAGCCTCCTAGGCTTTTCTCGAGTTCCAAAGAGCAGATTTAATCAGAGAAGTGAGAAAATGCAGAAACAAAGGAAAACAGACAAACAAGACAAAGTAATTGCAGTTTTGCCGTAAAACAAAGTCAAGGACTTTCAGTTTCTCCTCAAGGGCCATACATCATATCCTGAGCCATATCCTTGTGTTGCTCTGCAGACACTGAAACTCCCACCAGGTGGAAAACCTTAACTTCGTGCTGACCACCAGCACGTGGACCCCAGACTGATTGGAACCAGGAGTTGATGATTGGGATTCCTGAACCATCACCCTGTTACCTCGCCGTCAGCCAATCAGAGAACTGAGCACGAGCTGATCACGCACCTCGTGACGCTCACCCTCACAGATTCTTTAAAAACCCCTCCCGTGAGCGGCTCGTACTCTTTGCTTGATACCTTGCCACAAACGCTGTCTTTTCCTTCTCCTTTCTTTCTCCTTTCCTTCACTGCAACCGGGTTTAGTAGGTTGGCTTTGCTGCCTGTTGGGCAAGCGGACCCAAGCTTGGCTCGCTGAAAGCACGGGCTTCTAGTTAGGACTGAGAAGAGCCCAGGGCACCCTGGTGTCTCCCCACACCCAAACTCTCTAAGCAAAGGCCCCATCTTTCCTGCTGGGTAGGGTTGGGGGTAGGGGGGAATGTCAGTCACCAGGGAAGAAAAGAAATAGAAGAAAGAGACATACTGGAGAAGTTGACCATTGCGAACTGCTGACACCTGTCCCCGGTGTATCCCACAGGACACCTACCAAAAGAAAGAAAACCAGAAAGAGAGAGCCAGGATAGCAAGACATAGGCATTGCAACACCCCGGCACGGGCTCCTGCCAATGCCAGCTGGGTTCCTTGCCACTGTTACCATTTGTACTGGCTTTGCTACTCTGCCCCTTACCTGTAGCCCTGAGCTTTAAACCCAAGGATTAGGCCAAAAATGAAAAACAAAGCAAAACAAAAGAACTAACAAACCAAAATACAAAAAAGGAAAAGAGAAACAAAAAAACAGCCAAAGATCAAAACAACCAACACCCCTGGCCCTATGCCCTACAACGGGGGGGTGGGGGGGACTGCACCCGAAAGCTTTCTAAGGAGCAGGGACTCGTGTTTGTATCTTCAAACATACTTTGCTTAGGATCTGGCATGTACAATCGCAAAGGCAGTTTCTCCAAACATCTCTGTCCGAAGAATCCGTTTGGACATCTGGAGAAGGAAAAGGGGAAAAATCACAGAACAAACTGGCATCATCCGCGAGGCTTAGGTTAGAAATCAAAGTGCACAGTGATGAATGAGAAAACCAAGTCGAGCGCTGGGGCACACTCGTTGCTGAAGGGGCTGGAGTAGGGGCTGGGTGGAGGGCTCGGAAATCTCCTTCAAAATCTTTCTAATCCATGTGGCTCAGGGTGATGGGGAAGCTGGGGTGGGGCGGGGAAGATGATTTAGGGAAACAGGGTAGGGAATTGGGAACTTATTGCCTAAAGGTCCTAATGTCTGTTGAGACTTCCCTTCTGTCCTGCCTGGGGCCCCATGAAGCCAGAATTTGAGCCCTTTGGTGCCAGATAGTCGGCAGGCGGGTGGGGGCTGGGAGATTTCTGGAATACCAAAGTCCTGGGGAGCCAGTCCTTCCAGACCCTTCCAAAGGGTTCTCTCCAGTGCTGGTTCTCATCCATGAAACAGCACCCAGAAAGCTCAAAGAACTCAGGAATGCTGTTCCCAGACTGTGCTCACAACAAAGAGGGCCTTGGAGATGTCTTATCTGTTCCCTCAGGGAGGCTTCTGTGGCCAAATAAGTTTAGGAAATCCATCCCCAGGTTTCCTTGAAGAGTTGCAGTGCGCACTGGGTTATGAAAGGCTATGAAAAGTTGTGTAGGAGGAAAGAGCTGAACTTTCCAGTATGTTCCAAGTTTATCTGACCGTGGAAGCCGTTTTTTGAGGAACTCTTGTGAACACACGATTTGGGGAAGGCTACCCTAGAGCAGGATACATGGGAAAAGCTTAGTGGGAAACAGGTGGAGCTGGAATTACCAGCATCCCCAAACTGGCGGGCTGAGGGCAGGTGTGGGGCATTTGGCTGCACGTGGCAGAATCATGATGGAAGGCTGGGGGGTGGGTACTGAAGCCGGCTCCACACCAGGGGGCCTGCTGGCTGACTGAGACGCCTGCCCTTTCCCGTTGACCTGCTCCTCCTCCATCGCTGCCTGGCTCTGGGGGGAGCTCATCCTCCCACGTTGCCTCCTCTGTAGCTGCATCTACCTGCTCCCATCTCGACCTTGTCCTTAACCCCAAGGTCCACTTCCTTTTGCTCTCTGGCTGCTACTCTCTTCTCAAATAAGTCCCTGTCTTGTAGATTTTGGGGAGACATGCCCAGCCCTGTACTCTCTTCTGAACCCCAGCAAGGCCAGATACCTAAGGGAAGCTTACAGACAGGGCAACACTGACCCCCCTGCCCCAGGCCCCTAAATCAAAGGTGGGTCTGTGCTCTTCTAATTTAGGGAATTAGTTAGCCCATCACCAGCGTCCTGTCAATAACATTAATCAGTAAGCTTTCCTGAGAGGTGAGTGTACTCGACCTCTTAGCATTCTAGTGTATACCAACCATCAGTAGCCCCTTGAACTTAAGGAGGGGGATGGCCATTGGATGTGAAGGACACTCACAAAAATTCTGTGGCCTCCAACCTAGCCTGGAGGTTTGGGAGTGGTTGGTGGGCAAATAGACGGAGTCTCTCTGGACCTAAACAGGAGGCTGGTCCTTGTAGTGGCAGTGTGTGTGCAGTCTACCTGGCCAGTGAGCAGTAGTGAAGGGGGGAAGTGTGTCTGAAGAAGTTGGGGGGGAGCCTGCAAGTGACGTCAGTGCACATTCATCCTGTTGAACAAGGTGGCTTGCAGGAGGAGGCTACCACTTTGTCGGTACATCCTTTTCTGATTCCTCCCCCTTGTCCCCAGTCACCCCAGCCCAGGGAAATGGAGGTAGTGGCTAAGGCTTCCCAACCAGCTCTGGTCAGGCTCAGCTCTAGGAAACTGATTCCACTTGGGATGGGGACTTAGAGGCATGGGAGTGATTTTTTTTTTTTTAAGCAGCAGCACCTTTTGGGGGTGAAGGATATAAAGACTCAGGAAATTGCCAAAATGACTCTTGGAATCCACAAAGGAATAAGAAAGATAGTTTTGACTGTGTTCAGTGACTGAGATTAGCACGGCTCCTGGAGATAGGGGAAACTTGTGTGCTCGCATGCATAAGAGTGAGAATGGGGAAGTGCGGGGCAGGAGAGAATCCAGGGGAACTGTATCCCCTGCTGATAGTCAGGATGCCGTCCCATGGCTCTTGGAGACAGATAATAATTAAGCATATCCCTGCGTTCCTGGTCCCACAACCCAGCCTATACTATCCCAGCTGTATCCTAGCTTTCATGCCCACAGAGTCACACAACTCCGGGTGGCACCAGGGACACGGTCTACAACACTCTAACATGCCTCACCTTCCTGCCCTGGGAAAGCGTGTTCCCTGCTGGCTGAACAAAAAGAAAAGGCAGTGGGGGGTGGGCGCTGCCTGGGGCTGGGGAGGAGTAAAACCTGTGCTGATTTTTTTCTGGCACTGGCTCCTTTCAGGGGGCTTTTGGACACCCCTGTTTTCTCCTTAGCCCTGCTTGTTGAGGATAAGCCATGTCCAGGAGGCTGGGGCTTCCCTAGAGAAGGCTTGAGGGGGTTAGGCCTACAGCCTCTCTGCTCTCAGGACCTGGGAATGGGTTGGGTACAAACTACATTAGCCTATCAACCAGGAGCAGGGGCTGAACTTGGCATGGGCGGCTGGCTGGTAGTGGGAACAGGGATTTGACCCTCTGAGTTGCAAAGATATGGCACAGATTAGGAGGAGTGGAAGGTACCAGGCTTCCTAGCTCTCCCCCCCAAGCTGTTGTCTCTGAGTACGGGAAGGTCTGTGCTCAGGGCTGGAGAAGAGCCAGGGGTGAGAGAGGGGCAGAGAGGAGAGCCCACGGGCTGCATCTAGGGTGACAGAGGTTGGGACTCTGCCTCCCCGTTTTCTCACCCCCAATCCCGGGCCTCAGTTTCTCCTTTTGGTAGCCTGGGGATAATGCCATGTGTGCTGCCCTCACCCAGGGGAGGGGGAGGATGAAGGATGAGGGTGTGCCCCGGGCCGGGAGGGAGTGAAATGTCCCTGGCCTCAGGAGGGGCAGGGGTGGAGGTGTGGAGAGGATGAGCAGGCAGATGGGTATGGGATGGGGGAATCATCTGAACACGGGGTCGGGGGAGCAGAAGGGATGGGGTGATGAGCTGATGGGAAAGGGAGGCATGCCACTGGTATGTGCACAGGACTGGAAAGAGTCTTGTTCTGTCATCATCCCCTGAACCAGTCCCCAAGAGTCACGCACCAACCGTGCTCTATAAAAACACGGAGAGAAGAGGAGAAAGCAGCAAGAGGAAGTGCAGAGGCCCCTGTCTGGCCCAGACAGGAGACAGTCACCTTGATTTGGACCCCCATTTTCAAATCCCCCTAAGTTTTCTTTTTTAAAACAAAACTGAGTATCAGTGACACTATTTCTTTTGGCTCTGAATTCCAGAAAAACAGGAGGGACGGAGTGTGCCTGCTTTCCAACACTCCCTGCAGGGCTCTGAACCAATACACAACAACAAGTGTCAGAAAACCAGGAAGGAAAACTGATTTTTGTAGAAACTGGAATGAAACTGACCAGTCTAGTTTCATTATCCAAGCTAAGCGGAAATGCAAAAAAATCAAAATAAAAAGTAAACAAACAGCACAAATGGTAAGACGTGAGTTCCGGTTCCTAAACTCTTTTCCTTTTTATTCCATCCATTCCATTCAGGGTGTCATCAGGAACCCCAAGAGGCCTGCCCCCCTTCCCTCCCGGCTCACCCACCCCCAGAATGGCCTCTGGGTTCTGCCCTGCCCCCCTCCCCCCTGTCCTTCTCCAGCACAGCTCTGGGGACCTGCCCTCCTGATCACAATCCCCACCAGGGATGCCCCTCTCTCCCGGCGGCTCAGGGAGTCAGGAAAGTTGGTCCTAGGAGCCCAGGGTGTGTGGAGATGGGGAGGTGGTGGTTCTGGGTACTAGGTTCAAGTTCTAAGCGGTGAACCCCAGTTGTCCTGGTGGGGAGGGGAAACAGGACAGCATCTTCACAATGGCTCAGGCTTCTGCACTCTGCTCCTCTCAGATTTAGCTGGGCAAACCCAGACGGTTGTTGGGGTACAGCCTTGCTGGCAGGGCCCTCGGAGAACCCGTTACTGCTCATTACTCACTTTCCCACACTAAACTCTAGCACTGAAGCTCTGGGTCCCATGGCCCTTCTCAGCCCCGGCACTGTCCCTGGGTGGCTGCAACCTTCCCTGCCTGGAGCCAGGGCTGATTTCAGGGACAGTGCTGGATCTCTTCAAGGTTCTGGGATCCAAGGGGCTAGGGAAGAGGAGAGGCCTGGCGTGTGTGTGTTGTGGGGGACAAAGACGAAGGAGGATGGGGGTGCCAGGACTAGGCCATCTCTGTGAAGTATTCCAGAACTCTTACGAGTTTCTATAGATAAATACTCAAGAGCATTTTCAAGGCTATAATGTTCCCTGGGGTCTGTGGCACTAAGGTAGCAGCTTCCTAGAGGCAGGATGAGGGGCTGAGTCTGGGCTGAGAACTTCCCTGGGGGACGTGCTGTTGCTTTGGGGACTTGTCCCTTGAGATTTGGTGGGGGCGGATGGCAGCAGGTGAGGGTGGGGCCAAGGTGAATGCCAGGGAAGGAGGCCTGTGGGGCAAGAGGCACAGATGTGCCTGGTAGTCAGGCTCAGCTCGCCCAGCACTGAGGGGAGCGTGTGAAGAACGCCTGGCTCATCATTATCACATTGTGAGGTGGAGGGGTCTGGAGGCAAGGCTGTAGGCAGGAGGTGGGTGCAGCTCTGTAGCTGGAGCCCAGAGGCAGGAGAGCCGAGGAGTGCTGATCTGACCTTGTGTACGGGGAGGGCAAACGCCTCTCTGAATCGCCATCCATCCTCTGCTGGCCTTTGCCCAGATGCAATGGAATGGGGCAGCTTTGGCACCTTACCAGTGCCCTAGGCTTAGGCTGCTTTGAAAACCAAAGTTGTTGACTAGGCTCCCTCCCTCCCTCCCCTCCCTCCTCAGGATCCGGCCAGAACCTGTGCCGCCCTCACCAAGCTCCCCAGCCCGCTCCTTGCTCACCCGCCAGAGAATCTGTCAAGGGGGCGCTGGGGACCCCGCTTCCAGAAGATCTGACTGGGCCTGAACAAGCCTCCCTGGTTGACTCTGCTCCTACGTGCCCTGTCTGCGAAGGGGGGCAGGGGGTTCTGTGCTCCTGCCTGACTGGAGAGCAGGCTCTGGCCCTTGGGGAGGCCGGGGAATCCCAACTCATGACATGCTTCTCCCCAACCCTGACTTCCCCCACTCGGCCACACCTGGAGAGGTGTCCTTGCTGGTGACCCTTCACCCCACATAGAGGGACTCAGGACTGAAGTGGCACAGGCAGCAGCCAGGGCATCTCTGGACACTGGGGTCCTGCTGGGCAGGGAGAGCAGCCAGGTCCCGAGGTGAGCACGGGGGCAGAGACCTCAGCTGTCAGGGGCTCTGGGACCCGTGCTCTAGCTGACCCTGCCTCACTGCTGGGGAAGATGCACCCGGGCAGTGTTCATCAGAACGAAGTTGGGAGAGTTGCTGAGAGATGGGAGAGGAGGGAGAAAGAGACAGGAGAGAGTGCGAACCCAGTGCCTGGGGCACAGACTGGTCTCCCCATCTCTAAAAGGTGCTGGTAAAGGGTGAGCACTGGGAGGTGGGGTGAGCGGGGGCCTGGGAAACTGGGACTGAGGAAACCCTGAGCCCTTACAGCTTACATCGCCCTGTATTCCAGGAAAGGGCTAGGAATTGGGGCACACCTCCCTGTCTACACCCCTTGGAGACCCCTTATCACTGGCTTGAAGCCCACTTTTCCTAGAGCCCTCCACTTCTGCCCAGCCTCTCCCCCTACTCTCGCCCCCATGCCCGCCCCCACTGGTCACTTACTTGCAGGAGAGCTGGTTGATGCCCTCGATGTAGTAGCAGACGCCTCCATTGACACAGTAGGACTTGGCTGTCTCGTTGCACTTCCGGGCGTGCCCCGACCAGGATGACAGGGTGGTGCTCACTGGAGGTAAAAGAGACACGTGCCAGTGACCCACTGAGTCTCCCTCTAAACCCCAGGAATCACTCCTTCATGGCCCACCTCAAAGCTGGACGATCAGAGGCTACAGGAATGGCTGGGGGAGGGAAGGTCTGGTGGTCCCTCCCAGTCAGCAACGAGGCCGAGGGGAGGCCACCGTGAGCTCTGACCGTCTGCCCAGCACCACCTCATACCCTCCCTCCAGGCAAACCTCCACAGGCCGGGAAGATTTTCTTTTTTTGGAGAGGGTGAGAGGCTAGCAGAAACTGCTCCATCTTCTGGGATAAGGGCCCACCTCCGCTGCTTTCTGTCTGCCTGCCTTTCTTGGGGCTCCACTGCATTTGGGTGAGATGCCATGTCCTATGTGGGGCACAAGCTGCAAAGGGAGACATTTACGTCCTCCTGCACTGTCAGGCTCTCGTGGACCAGTGTATAGATGGAGGGAGCTGAGCTTTGAGGGAAACGACATTGGACATTGTCCTTTTCTTAAGATCTATGGAGATGTGCGAAGAATTGTAGATTCCATCTCTTTCCTCTTTGTCCCAGCGGGACAAAGTGTCTCAGAAATGGTCCAGAGTACACTATGCCTGACTCCAGAAGCATCCGGGGCCTCCATGTCCACCCTTGCCAGGCAGTCCCCACCTCCCCCCCCAAGTCAGCTGCTGTAAACCCAAGGCTTCAGGTTGCTGGGGAGGAGATGGGCTGCGGGACAGCTGGGATGTGGAAATGAGGTGACAGCAGGACTGGGCTTTAAAGGCCACTAACCCAGACTGCACATCTGATAGAGGAGATCCATTTCATAAGCAAAAATAGCGAAAGCTCTGCTCCCCAATGGGATGGTATCTAGAAAGCTGGTTTCAAGTGAAAATTCTTACCGCATGGATGTCAGTTTTCATCTGTTAGCTAGCCCCCTTGGCCTGCGTATCTATATTGGGCAGCTAGAAACGGGTTCCTGCTGCCTCCTTAGCCCCTGAGGTTCTGAGGGCCTCTCACACCCACCCAGCAGTGGCCTCTTGACTGCTCATCCTACCTTGGCTGATCCTGTCTCCTCGGGGTATTGAGTCTCCATCATCCCCCGCAGTCAGGAGAGGAGGGCAGGCACTTGGCGCCCTCAGTGTTTAGACGTGTGGGGAGACAGATGGAGCGTGGGGACTGGGAGTGTATACACAGCTCTGCCTCTGTATATGTCTGGGGAGCTTGCTGATAAAACCCATCGGGCAGGGCCAGCTCCCACCTTCCCCTCCACATCATGCCTGCCGCTGGTCTGGCATCCTTGAGCCCCACCCCTCTTGACGTCTCCCACCTCTGCTCAACCCAACACCCAGCTGGGACCCACATGCTTCTGGGTCAGTGAGACCCAGGGAAACTAAAAAAGGGACAGAGAAGAGAAACAGCTGAGGTGACCACGCCTGTGAGTTGTAAAATCTCATTGCTAGAGGACCTTAGAGGTTGTCCTGCCCTTGGGTTACATTGCCAAGGAGGAGTGAGGAAAGTGAGCAGGGAAGTGCCTGTCCAGAGTCCAGTGTGTGTTGTGTCAAGGTCTCAGGGCTCCTGATGCCCAGTTGAGCATCCTCACTAGGTACCTGGTCCCTCGTGGGAGTACACGTCAACACCAAGGCTTGACAGGCAGATGAATGCAAACACGGTGTGGACCACAGGCCTGGGTCCTCTCATGGGCCTTGGCCAAACCAGAGAAACCTCAGTCTCGTTTGATGCCCTCTGCAGGCGAGGGTGGCAGAGCCTGCCCACTGCTGCGCAGAGTGAGCAGTGGGCAACAGTGAGGAGCGGGGCAGGACCCCAGCTGCATACAGCACGTTTGTGCTCACCAAGGCTTTGGGAGGCAGACGATGGCTCCTGAAGGAAGACAAGATCTTGGCTGGGATCTGTGGCCTGGGGCTGCCAGGACCGTGCCATCATGGGGACTAGGCTGAGACCCCAGAAAGGCAAAAAAGGGAAGGCAAGGAGGGGAGCCAGCACCAGAGGTGTGGGGGAAATTACCACAGGCCTTTCCACCTCAGAAAGAAGTACATTGAGGCCACCTCTGTGATGGCAGGGCCCTCCCAAGTCACCAAGGTGCAACTCTGCTGGTGGTAAAGGCTCCCGCCTGGAAGATTTCCACACTGAAGGTGTGCAGACACACAGCTCCAGCTCACAGGGGCTCCTAAGGGGCTCCCTTGTCAGCCTCTATTTCTTCACTGTGTTCTCCCGTGTTTGCAGAAGTGACAATGACAGATGGACCCCAAGTGGGAGAATCTGGCTGCCCCTTTGACACCACCCCAGGGATGGCGCCTGGTGCCCCCCAAACTCGGCTCCCAGTCATCTCACCTCCCACTTTCTCCTCCAAGCTTGCTCATCTCAGCGACTGAACAGCACAAACCAAAGGCCTAGAGTACATCTTTGATTTCTGGTCTTCCTTTGTTCTGCCAGCTGTCTGTCTGTCACAGAGGGCTGCCCGTCTCCCTCCTCACAAGTCTCTGCCCCTGTCTCGCTACCACCTCCCCAGCCCAGGCCTCCAGGGTCTCTTTCTTGGGTGACCGCAACTACCTCCTCACGGGTCTTTCTGCCCTCCCACTTGCCTTCATCTCTAACCTGTTAGCTTTGCAGCTGCTGAAGCGGTCTTTAAAATATGTAAATTGATCAGTCATTTCAATGATCAAAACCCTCCAATGGCTTCCATGTGTGCTCAGAAGAACGCCTCCCACCCCGTCCCCAAGTCTCATCTGGGCCTCTCCACCTCTCCTCTGTGTCCTGTGCCTCTCTTGCAGTGTATTCCGACTACACTGGCTTAGTCCATCCCCTCTAAGAAGCCAGGGTACCTTCTTGTCCAGGATTTTCAAAATATCAGTGTCTCAGAGAGGCTGCTCAGGCTCCCCCCTTACTCCTTGCCTTAGCTTCATAACTTGTACTTATTCTATCATAATCAAAGGACTGGTTTTGCAATTATTAGCTGTCTAAGGCTTAGCTCCTCCACTAGAATGTAAGCTCCATCCAGGCAGCGGCCACATCAGTCGTGTTCACCAGTGAATGAACCGCAGTGTCTAGCTTAGCGTTTGACATGTAATAAGTGCTTAACAAATACTTTTAGACATTTGTAACGGGCAAATGAACATCTGATTCTTTAGAGAAAGGTGCCTTCTACTACTACTAGTCTGGTCTCCTTAACCTGCTATCTTTTCTGTAGATAAAAGCACTGTCTCTTATTAAATGCAAATATTCCTGGGAGGTCATTAAGGAAATGGAAACCAAAACCACAGTGAGACACCACCTCTACCCACTCTGATGGCTATAATAAAAGAGGTGGATAATGAAAAGTGGTGAAGATGCAGAAAAACTGCAACTCTCGTACTTTGCTGGTGGGAGCGTAAAGTGGCGCAGCTATTTGGAAACATAGCTGATAGTTCCTCAAAATTAAACAGTTACCTAGGAGTTGAATTGCTGGGTCATATGGTATCTACCCAAGAGAACTGAAAACATATGTCCATGCAGACTTGTACATGAATGTTATAGCAGCATTATTCATAACGACCAAATGTGGAAACAACTAGAATGATGCAACAACCTAAACTGAAGAACGTTTAAACAAAATGTGGTAGAGCCATGCAATGGAATATCACTTGGCCATGAAAAGGCATAAGTGCGGCTACATGCTACAATGTGAGTGAACCTCAGACACTAAGTGGAAGAAACCAGTCATGAAGGGCCACATATTGTATGATTCTACTTAAATGTAAATATCCAGAGTAAGTAAGTCCATAGAAGCAGAAAGTAGATTCTGGTTGCCAGGGGCTGGGGAGGGGCATTTAAAGAATTGATTTAAAGAAAACACCTATGAAGGGGAAACCCAGGAAGCCTCTGTCAGCCTTTAGTGTCTTGTATAAAAGAGTTTATAGGGGCCAGAGGAGAGCATGGGCCAGGAGAGGGGAGCTGAGGCTGTGCTTCCAGCTCCTGCAAGGGCTTTTCTCCCGTGCATATGGGGAAAGCTCTCCTCATCTTTCAAGGCCCAGATCAAGTGTCCCTTCATCCATTAAGGCTTTCCTCCTACCTGCCTGGGATGTCCCCTCTCCCTGAGATGTTGCTAAGTTGCCTGACCTTCGTCAGTGCGTCAGAACAGGCAGATGCTTTGAGTTCAATTCTGGTACTTCTAGCTTCAAGTCAGCTGAGGGACTCTGCTGGGAGCCGAGACTGACTCCTCAGCTCACAACAGGGTCTTGCTGCGTGAGGCCTTTCTAAAGGCTTGAATGAGAGTACATGTGTGTATGTATGTGATTAAACAGCCTTTTTAGGCCCAAAGGTGTAAGGGACAGGCCCAGAAGCCTCTCCAGGGCTTCCCTGGTCTTGTGACATCCCAGGTCAAACCTACCTATCCTCTGGGGTGAAGCCAGGCCCCACCCCACATCCTGGGACTGGTATAGCCACCCTGCAGCATTCCCCAGTTTTTTCACCTGGGGATGAGACAGCTGGTTTGTCTAACTCAGAAGTGGGTTGAATCAAACTGATTGTTTTGTTCAAAGCACCACAAACTTGCTGACTCCTCCTCCCAGCCAACTCAGGAAAGCTGTCTCTTGTGAGCTGGCAGAGCTGAGACTGTAAGAAGGGTCTGCTCTGATCAGAAGAAATGGGGAGTGACTGCTCATGGGCACGGAGTTTCTTTCTGAAATGATGAAAATGTTTTGGAATTAGTGACAGTGATTATGTAACTGTGAATATACCCAACCCACTGAGTTGTATACTGTAAAAAGGGTGAATTTTATGGTATGTAAATTATACCTCAAATTGTTAAAAAAACAAAAACCAAAATAAACCCACCTGGGAAGGGTAAACCCAGGAGGTCCCTATCAGCCATTAGAGTGTTGGTGTGAGTGAGTTTATCGCCCTGAGGAGAGAATGGGCCAGGAGGGAGCTGATGCTGTGCACACGGTCTCCCTGCTGCCAGCTCCTGCAACTGCTTTTCCCCCCTGCGCGTGGAGAACCTCTGCTCACCTTTCAAGGCTGCAGTGATGCCCCTTGAGCAGTTGCTGCTCCCTCTCAGCCCTCCTGTGCCTTCTTCTGGCTGCCCCACCCCTGTTGCCCTGGCTTCCCTGGGGCCAAGCCAACCCACCCTGGGATGAGTCAGAGGGGGGCAGGCCCAGTTGCCCGCTACCCGCCCTCCACCCCCCCAGGGTGGGGTTGCTGCAGGTCGTCTGGGTTCCACGGGTAAACAAGGAGCCTGAGCATCTCTGCTTGGGAGAATGTCCCCGGTGAGGCCTCCTGGCCCCCTGTAGTGGCCCTGTTCACCTCCCCACTTCAAGGGTAGGCACTTGCCTGCAACGGACTGAACAGGCAACTGAAGTGGTGCGATGTGAGTGTGTGTGGTAGTGGCGGCGGCAGCCATGAGGTGCACAGGATGTCAGCTTGAACATCAAAGTGTAGATCTCAGGATTTTAGGGAAAAGGGGCTTAGAGATCATCTAGCGCAGCTTCAGGTGGGAACAGTGAAGACAGGGAGATGGAGGAACTTGCCTAGGGGTGCACGGCAAAGCTGAGACCACAGCTCTGCATGCTGCTCTCCTGCCGGGCTGGAGGGCTGAGAGGCACAGAGCCCTCAGGGCCCAGCCCGAACGCCACTGCCTGATCCCTAACTGAGCAGGACATGGGCTGCTGAGGGCTGACAGGAGACCACATGTGGGGTGAGGCTGCAGCTTATCAGAAGGGTCTCAACAGTGCCCTGCCTCTGCCCCAAGCCCTGGGCGGAAGAGAGGACGCTACTGTGGTTTCCTGCATGGTGTGGAAACCTTCCCTCTTCCTCTGCTCTCAGCACCCTTCTAGGGAAGTGCCCCTGTGTAGCCATCACTCACAGTCCTCTACCTGTCAGCACCCACTCTGTGCACACTCACACACCTGGCAAGGACAGCCCCGCGGCCCCCTGAGCACATGGCCAGTGGGGCACTGGACAGGAATCCATCCTTGTGACTCTATAAACGAAGACAGAGACAAAGCTATCTCCTCTCCCTGGGTGGCAGGCTGGGATGATGTAAACCTGGAGGTATCTGAGGCCGTGGCCTCCTCTTCACAACCCCTTCCCCAAATGTGGGAGAAGACCATTTCACAGGAGGAGAGTAAGAGGCCAGCATGCCATGGGAGGGAGCGTCCTGACCCCTGCTCTAAGTTCCTGTCATGTCTAAGGCCAGTTCTATCTCTGGACTTCTCAGTTTTATAAACTGATAAATTCCTTACAGTAGTTTCAAGTTGGTTCTTTTCTATTCTAACCAAGAAAGTCTTGAAAAATAAAACAGGGAGCCTCAAATCCCAAGTGGATCTGAGAATGTCTGCCCACTCTGGCTGGAGGGAGGCCCCCAGTGTGTCCGTTTTCCCAGCTTGGGATGGGCTGGGAGGAGCAGGAGGGTCCAGGTAGCCCTCCTGCAGCCACGCCCACGCTGGGGTACGTGGAGTCAGTAAAGGCCTTGGACCAGGTTCTCTGTTCTTTTCTGTACTATTTACTGGGTGCCGACTAGAGCCCAGCACTGTGGTGGGCCCTGAGGCCGCAGTGGTAAACAGGCTAGACAGAGCCCCACGGAGCTTAGGGGCTCAGTGTTTGCCAAATACTTAAACATTGCGTAGCTCTGTCTTTAAAATAATCTATCTGTTTGACTCTGGGCAGGATATTCAGCTTCTCTCAGCTTCAGTCTCATAATTCACAAAATACAGCACGGGGTCGAGTCAGGTCTCTGGAGGAAATGTGGAGCCTGGCACAGAGCATGCACTCAGGGAATGGTAGTTATTACTGCAATTCTTGGGGAGAAGGCATTCTCCCTGCTTCCCCAACTCCTGGGCTCACAATCCACCGGGAGGTCACACCCACAGAGGGAGTTCAGCAACAGGGTGAGAATTAAAGAAGGATCTGATTGAGTTCAAGAGCTACACAAGACCGCAGTGGACCGAGAAGTGGCCCGGGGGAGGGGCCTGTGCTGGGAGTGACGCTGCAGTGGGTTGGGGCGGTCAGGAGGACAGCTGCCTGGGAGAGCTGGCTCGGGAGGAAGAGTGAAAATGGGATGAGGGGGCCAACTGCAGTTAGGGTTGAAAAGACCGTTTGGGTCAGACTGGGAAGAGCTGGGCTGTGGGACAAAGTCCTAGCTCTGTGGCTCCATGGCTCAGGCACCAGAGGATGAAAGCATCTTAAGAGGCTGTTGTTCTGGTTCAGGTGAGCAGGGATGAAATCTGGTCAGGGATGCCCCTGAAATAGGGTTGGAATCAAAAGGACAGGTGTGAAAGAAAGATCCAGAAAGAAGACTGACCATGACCTGAAGACTCAGCCCTATTAGACGGAGGAGCCCAAGAGGCTGGGGGAACGGGGGATCCTTCACAATACAGAACAGACAAGGTCTGAGGCCTGGTTTTCCTCTGAGGGTCTGAGGGTAGGGAAGGTTCCAGGTTCTCAATAGACAGTGCTGGGTGCAGGGGAACTGGTCGGTTGTCTGGTGGAAGCACAGGGATGAAGGCAGATGCAGGATTAGACTGTGACAGAGACAGTCCTGGAAGTGAATCCAAACAACCAGCGTAGCCAAGTGGTACGCTCAGGCTGGGTGTCAGGAGGAGGAGAGAGCTTTGGGGTTCTGAGCACCTGGGCTATAAGGGTGCCGTGGGGTCCTGACCTCACATGTCTCCCAGGGAGGGGGTGACCTGTTGGGAGAGGGGCCCACCATCCCTGAACAGAGGCTGCACCCAAGCCTGCCACCCATGGCCCTGCGGAGATGGCTGCCTGCGCTCAGGCGCCCAGCAAATCAGCAGGCAGGCGGCTCGCACACACCCTGGGCCTGCCTCTCCCGGAGCCCAGCTTCTGGCAGCCCAGCCTCCCATAATTGCCTTCTAAAAATATCCTTCCCCCACCCCCACCTCTTGATTTCAAAATATTTAGTTTTCAGGGTATTTAAAATGAGAGCTGGCGGCTCTTCCAGGTCCAGATAACAAAGCTAAACATTTATGCTTGGACTGCATTTCTCTGAATCGGCCCAGATCTCAGGGCTTGATAGGGCAGCGGCAGGAGGGAGGGGAGTCAAGTGCGGGTGGGTCATGCGTGGGCCGCCCCACCGAACCCCTCTAGGACCCCTCCCTTGGTTGGGGGACCACCTACCGCTGTTGACGAAGAGCCGGCCCCTGACGGTGTCCTTCCCCAGGATGTTCTCGGCCTCGCAGACGTACTCCCCAGCGTCCTCCACCTTCACCTTGTTGAACTGTAGTCGTGAGTTCTTTCTGGTTAAAGGAGGGGATAAGAGAGGGGAGAGGTGTGAGTCAGGGCTCAGGCCGGCTGTGGCTCCCCAGTGGTCACCCAGCGGCCACCTCTCCTTGCAGAGCCACAATGTCTGCATGGTGGCCAGGAAGTCAATTCCCTCAGACCAGCCACTTCTGGGGTCCAGGTGGAATGTGGAGTCCCCAGAGCTGGAGGGAGACCTGGGCACTCACAACACAGGCTGGGACTAGTGGTGACATTTGTACTAAGACTGAATCCTCACATCCACTTTTCCAGGGCTGGACCTCGTTGTAACCATGTTTCTAAGGGAGGAAACTGGAGTCCCTTAGGAAGTCACATGGCCACCTCCCTCCTCTTTCAGTGCCCTTCTCCCAGTCCCGGCATGTCTCCCGCCACCCGTTTCCAACAGAGCAGCCTCTGGCTCACCAGCTCCCTCAGCCTCCCCTTAGAAGCAGCAGCCCCATCACTCTTGATACACAGGACCCATTCTCAGGTTCCCATGGCAATTGTCCAGTCTCCTAGTCCAAACCTGTGGCTCTCCCCTGCCTTTATGTCCAGCCCTGCCACTAAGAGGCACTCTGTGGCCTCTCCAAGGGCTTTTGCTTCATTCATTCATTCAACAAGTGTTTACCGAGTGCCTTCTGTGTGCAGGGAGCTTGGATACCTCAGGGAACAAAAAGATCCTAACCTCAAGGCGTCCTTGACCCTCACGGCTAATCTGGAGGGGAGGACAGGGCAGGACAGATGGGAAAACTGAGCCCCAGAGGGGCTTCCGGACTTGTCCAAGGGCAACTGGCAAGGCAAAGGCAGAGATGGATGGAGGAGCTGGCGTTGGTGAGGATGTGGGTCCCAAGCAGCACATGGACCGTCTCCCTGAGCCTGACGCTGAGTCCAGCCCCCTCTGTGGAGGGCTTCGCACCCAGTCCCTGCATGCCGAGAGTTGTGGGGCCAGGCCTGGGAAGGGACTCTAGGGCAGTGTGTGACTCCAGAGCATCTGGCCCTGGTTCCCCTCTTCTTTCTGAAGGCTCTGCCAAACCTCTCCTTCCTTCTGGGCCCCAGGGTGTCCTGGGCTCTGCAAGACCTGTTCACACCTCCCACCCCTCCCTCAGCCCCAGTGCTCTTTGTAGCCAGTCTGAGCTCTGGATAAAGCCCAGAGTGGGAAACCAGAAGCAGCAGAAAAATTTCTTGACATGATATAATCTCCTTCTCTTTAGTTAAATAAGATCCCTAGTATGTAGTGGGTTGAAGGGGTACTGGAACAGGAGGTAGGGTAGCAGATATGTCACTACCCTGAACTCAGGGCTGGAGAAACGGCCATGAAGCTGATGGGGGAAGGAGGGCAGTGAGCAGAGAGGCTGGGCCGGGGTAGCAGAGATGGCAGAATGACTCATATCCATCCCCGGACTGTGCTTTGAGGACCTGTCTCCTGGGTGCCACCTCAGCCTCTGGGCTGGGCCTCTCCCCAGACCTCCTGACTCTAAGACCCCCCAAACCAGCCTCCACGAGGTTGTCTTGTCAAAGAGGCCCTTTTGCTGTGATGATGTCCTCTCCGATGTTACAGTGACAGCTGCCTAACTCCCCTCCACCCCTCCCAGCCCAAGTCAGTCTCTGTCTCCTTGGCCTGGTGTCTGCCTCTAATTCTCTTCTGTCAATTCAAGTTTGTTCTCTTCATTAGAAAACAGAACCCTGGAGGCCCCTCTGGCCAAGACAGCCTCTCCTTCCTGGCTCCAGCCTAATTAGATGCCACAAATCCCAGCTGCCCCAGGACTTGGCTTCTCTGGCTTCTTGGCCACCAGCTCTTCCTTGACACTAGATGAGCAGAGTTGGGGGGAGCACCTGAGGGTCACAGGTGTCAATGTATAGGGGACACAGAGCCAGAACCTCCTTGTCAGCCATAGCCGAATTCAAAGCAGCTTCCCTTATACGACATCACACGCAGCAGGATGAGGTGGAGCCAGGTTCAAAGTACCTGGAGGGATAAAAGCTAAAACTGGAAGGAAGTTCTTCCCACATGGGAGGGGTGTGAGAGCTTGGAAAGGAGGCCCGGGGCTCAGGGAGAGCCCCTCCCCTTTGAGGAACTAGAAAGAGGCAAGGGGACAGAAAGCCTGACCCCCGTGGGTTTGCTGGTTGCAGGCATCTGAGGTGACCAGGTGTGTGATAATCGCCCTGGTTCCAGGGAGTTGGCCCCAGCCTGCACAAGAGGTTTTAGGGTCAGAGCTGAAGGGTGAGGAGACCACTCCCTGAAGGCACGGAGACCATTACATTCTCTTCTCCTTGCTCCTAGCTCTGGTCGGAAGCTCCAAGGACTCGGGACTCTCTCATGCTCTCCTGGCAGGCCTGGTATCCCCTCGCCGGGCTGACCCGGTCCTGCCCCCACAATGGATGCCCCTCCCCTCCTTCCTCAGCCAGTCTTCTGCTGGCAGAGATGGGATCTGGGCGGCTGCCTCCTCCACCCGTCCGCAAGTTTTCCTCAGTGCCTACCTCCTGCTGCCTGCCCGAGGGGCCTGTTCCAGCCTGCCCCTCATAAATAAGAGAACCGGTGGTTCTGCAGGGGAGGGCCCCATGTCCAGGGCTGGGGGAGTCGGTTTTGTCCTGGCACAGGAAGGCTTGGGTGAGACACCTCAGTGTGACAGCCCCGGAGACAGGCAGCACCCACTGAGAAGGGGGTCTCCGCAGACCAAAAGTGATGTCAAGACAGAGTGTGGCCTGGCCGAATGGAGCGCTGGGAGGGAGAGAGTTGTGAGCTGCAGTGTGGGCTGAAGGAAGGGGATTTTGTCAGAAAGGAGACCCCTGCCCCCGTGCCAGGTGAAGTGTGTGTGTAGAGGTGGCAGCTGTCTCTGGGTCACAAAGAGGAAATCAGAAAGTCTCCATCATGACCCACACCTCCAACCCAACAACTCACTGCAGGAAGCCCGGGGCACAATGGGTGGAACAAGGAAGTGTTGGAAATGCAGCAAATGGGACAGATTCCTGACAGGAAGGGGGCTGGGGGCACAAGGCAGGCTCTTAGGGGTCCCCAGCACCCAGGAGAAGACCCAGGATGACATGTCCAGGCCCCGTTTCAGGACTGGGTTACCCATCTGTCCAATGATGCTGAGGCTTGATCAGGACAGTAACTTGTTGCAAGTCCACCTCAACCCAAAGGACATCCTGTCCAGTCCCAGTGTCCCCCTGCACCCAGCAGAGGAGAGCGAGTCCTGCAAAATCCTCATCAATTCACACCGAAAGGAGACCTCCTCTACCAAGCCACACAGGCGAGGGGGTGTTCATAGGGGTGAACCTGGAGGCTCTCTCGTGCTGGGACAGACAGCCCCCCAACCATGCTATGAAGCTGTGTCTAAGGCCCCATGAGAGGAGACAAGAGCTTGTTGGAGGGCTCAGGAGGGTGACCCAGAGGATGTGACATTCAAGCTGGGCCTTGGAGAATTTTATAAGGGACAAGAAGGGGGGAGCTGCCAGCACAGGGAACAGCCTGGGCCCCCATCCAGGTGAGGTAAGACCAGAGATCAGGAGCATCCAGGTGTTAGGAAACAGACAGGGACAGGGAGTGGGTCAGAGGCCAGGAAGAGGAGCAGTGGAAGGGCCCCAAGGCCTAGGCTGTTCCTGGCGTTCAGCAGGCTCTCAGGATCTGGCAGCTAAGTGAACGAAGGATCAGATATGGACCCTGTTGGAAAGATCATCCCCTGTCAGAGTCACAGGGGTCAGTGACTCTGCCGACCTCTCAAATCACAAGCAAAACCACATGTATGAGGCACATGTTTTATGAAGAAGGGTCAAGGAAGGCCTTTACCAGACTCTTCACTGGAGGCGCCCTGTCTGCTCCAGTCACTGGTGCATCTCTAGCCTCTGGTGGAGTGTCTGGCACATAATTGACACTCAGCCTGTATATGTGACATACAGAAATGAATTCACAAAGGGACCTGGGACTGAGAAAAGGTGGGGAGTGGCTAAGTGTGGGACAGTGGAGGAAAAGAGGCTGGAGGCTGGGAGGACAGAAGTGGGCAGGGCAGGGAGAAGGGTGCCTGTTTCCAAAGACATGGTATCTAACTGGAGGAGGTGGCACAGGGGCAGGTGCTGGGCAGCGGTCGGTCTGGTTCTGCCACAGCTGAGAGGGGAGCACAGCAGGGCAGAGGTGAGAGGCCAGACTAGGGCATTCTGGATTAGAGATGTTTGTAGGATATCTCAGGGGTGGTATCTAAGAGTTTAGCTGGCAGCATAGGTCTGGAACTCAGGAAAGAATAAAAGCCATCAAACTAGAGATGGGGGCTTGGGGTCATCAGGTATGAGAGGGTGAAGTCACCCACAGGTGGAAAAGGGAGCGAGCAGAAGAGCGAAGCGCCAAACACAGGAAAGTTGCAATATCCACGATGCCTGAGAGGGTAATTAGATGCAGAGGAGGACTACAGGGCCAAGGGAGCAGGTGGTACCCACATGCCAATGGCTGCTAAGAGGCCTGGCGCCCAGGAAGCTCTGAGGTGGCTGGGTCTATCAAGAGCTGCAGCTACAAAATGCTGGGGGTGCGTTTACAGGGCAGATTCTAGCCGAGCAAAGAGAAGTGGAGGGCCAGACAGTGTGGAGTCAGTGGGCGTGAAACTCACGCGCCGCAGTGGTGGAGGGAAGGAGTGGGATGGGGCAGCAGCCAGAGGAGGAACAAGAGACGGCAATGCAGAGGGAAAGCTTTTAGAAGAGAAGCAGTTTGTTGTTAGCAGTTTGTTGGTCGGGAGAGAGGCTGAAGTCACCCAAGAGAGGAGTTTGGTGGTGGCACAAGGGCTGTGAGGGCAGGTGTGTTTGAGTGAGTGGGAGTATGGCATGGGGTCGTGAAAGGGGATGAGGATGGGCCACATCGGGGACTTCCCGAGAGTAATGGGGAGGGCAAGCAGAACGCTCTGCCTTGACTTCATCTCAGTGAAATGGGGGGAGAGGCCATCTACCAGGAAGAGGGGACAGGAGGGAGACGGGGCCCTAACAGCTCCAGAAGCCGGTCTACTCTTCTCTTCCGCTTGGAGCCGGGTTTGGCAGGGCAGCGGGAAGGGGTGAGGGGGACTCAGAAGGTGATCTTGATGGGCAACCCGAATTTCTTGCTAGCTCTGTAGACTGAGGACACCCCGGGCCCCCTCCTTGCAATTTCCCTTAGGAAACTCTTCTTTCAGCCTTTGATCTGAACCCAATCCTTCTTCAATTACCTCGTTTTCTGCCTGGACTACTTGCCAGGGTGACTAGTCCTACCTTAGCCCCCGGCTCTTGGAAGGAGAGTCAGAAAACTGAAAGCATCTCCCAGATCCGACCCCTGACCCCCACTCCGTCTCTCACACATTCCAGAGAATAAGGCCCAGGGGCAGGCTGTACATCTGGGGCCACAGGACAAACCAGGAGCAGCCTGAGCCCTGACCTTCTTTCCATCACTTTCTGTTGTGGGGCAGGTTGTGTCTAAAATCATTTTCATTTTCATTTGGGGGAGTGAGGAGGAAATGACGGCTCCTCTGGAGGGGCAGGAAAGGCTGAGGTGTGCCTCAGCCAGAGAGGGAAGTCCACCGGGCTTTCAGGGCCTGCAGAGCAGAGGTCAGACAGAACTTGTGTTCAGCCAGCAGGTGGGCGCCTCTCTTCTCGCTTGGCCTGCCTTCCCTTCAGGAGCTGAAGGACAGGATAGAGGTGAGGGGCTGCCCTTGGACTCTTGTCTCCTCTGGTGCCTACAGCCCTCTCTGCCCATCCAATCCAAGATGGAAGAGAGGCCATCTTCACAGCCCAGTGATCCTAGATTAAAGACCATTCCCATGTCACAGGGGTCCTGTCTGGCATACGGAGTCCTGACACCAGTGCAAGCCATGTGCCTTTCCCCTTACCTGGCTCTCTGCCCAGTGACAGCCTGTGGAGCTGAGGAACCAGCCCATCATCACACGTGACCTCCCAGACACATTCTAGAGTCAGAGTCCTTCACCCAAGACTGCCCAGTGGTGAGTTTCAGGCACTGTGGCAGATCCTTTGAGAAGTTTTAGGGACAAAAGGGGACTTCCACAGTTAAAGCTGACTTTGAGACTCAAATTGCCTTTACCCATCCAGGGACATTAATTCAGCAGCCACTGACTGCAGGACCTCAGCACAGGGGCCCAGAGCTGCAAGGAGAAATTGGGCATGGCAAAAAAAAAAAAAAAAACCAGGGGGACCAGAGCTGGTTCCATGGGTGGATCTGGGGGTCCGGCCCTGAGCTCTTTCCAGCTCAGGTCTCCTCTTCTCAGGAAGGAGGGAGGGCGGCTGGGCGGCAGGAGGGAGGAAGGGAAGCTGCTCACCTGCCGTTGCCGTACTTGATGCGAATGTCGCGGCTGCGGTTGAGCTCCTTGCCATCCTTGAACCAGCGGTAGGAGGGCTGGGGGTTACCGGCTGCTGCCTCACACTTCAGTGATTGCTTCTCACCCACCTGTCCCGTCTGGCTCTTCATCTTCTTCAGCTTGGGCCGGGTGGCTGTAGGGGTACAAGGCAGGAGGTGAGCGTGGTGGTGGTGGGGGGGCAGTGCCAAGCATGAGCAGCGGAGGAAAGGCCACTTCCTGGGGGGCTGGAGGAAGGAGAGGGTCCTGGGAGCCACCCCTCCTGGTGTCGTTTACCAGTTCAAGTCAATGTCTGGGATGATGTCATTGTGCGTGCTGCCTATGGAGAGTTTCCCCTCACACCTGGAATGGTACTCAGAATTTTCTATACATTAGCTGATGAAAATAACCCTATGAGTTCATTGCAATGATTAAACCCATTTACAGATGGGGAAAACGGAGGCTCAGAATGGTGAAGTCACTTCCCAAGGTGATGAAGCTGGAATTCAAACTTAGATAAT